ACTGCTGTGTGTTTACAGTGAAAAGGAAGAAGCAGTGTTGGTATTATGTTAGCGGCTAGACAAATAAAACAGTTATTATTACATATTGGTGCCTGACGAGAAGCACACTTAATTTGATGACTCATCTGTCTAGTGTGGCTGGTTGCACACGAGTGTTTTTTTGTTTTCTGTGCCAGACATGCCCCTCTCCAGTTGATCAGGTATCTGCTGGGGCCCACAAGTAGCCAAAGAAAAAGAGAGCTCTTTTGAGTTCACTAGGGAAACGGCGGAGGAAATTGAGTTATGGAGAAGGCCTTATATATTGTGAGAGAGGTTTTTTTGTTTTATGTTTTTTGTTTTTGGGAAAAGAAGCTGGATTGTGATAAGCTGTCCCTGTTTCCCTTGAACAAGGAAGTCGGGGTGGGAGTTGGCGTGTTTTCCTCTTGTGGCCACTAGGTGGTAGCATTGGCCCAGGTCAGCTTGATGATTCAGGTAGAGTTATCTACGGCTCTCGTGGTTACTCACAAATTAGGTGTTTATAAATTAGGACTGTTTGCTTTCTTTCATTCCTTTTTAACTGGCACTTGCACTTGAACAAAGGGGTCTACGTTCTTTTTCTTTTTTTCTTTTTTAAGCGTATGAAATAACCATAACACTTTCTTTTAAAAGGATCAAAATGGAGTTGAGTTGCTTTCTTTCTCTAAAGGAGAAGAGTATGCACTCCCTCCTGTCTTCGGTCATGGGCTTGTGAAAGAACATAGTTTCCCAGATTAGCATGTAGGCCCTTAGGAAATAAAGCATCACCTCTTCCTGCTCTTGGCTCCAGGGCGAAGGAGACGGCCAGAGGGGACCGTGGTTAAGCCTTGTTACCCAGCCCTGAGCACGAGGGCTCTGGTGTCTCATGTGCCCGGGGCGTGGCAGTCTGTGGCAATGTGCTCCTGCTGCCTCTGGGTCCACTGAGTTCGTAGAGAAGCTCAAAGATACAGCTCATTTCTATAACAAGTCTCTTGATTCATCAAGTTGTCTTTATTAAAACAAGCAGAATTTTAAGAAACAGAATATTGACACATTTGTAAGGTATTTGAAGTCAGGCTTGCCTCCAAAATACAGAATCTACAGTCAGCACCTGACGGCATTAAAACAGCTTGGTATTATTAATAAAATGCCTTTTATTAAGTACCTAAAATATGTCGCACATTGTGTGGGCACTTCACATGTGCTAACCCTAATGCTCACTGTACTGTTGGGCTTCTACTGTGCACACAGCGAGAGGTGGCCTATTTCTATGTTTTGCAAGTAGAATCTTTGGTAAAAACTAGAGTCACAGTAGAACCTCTGCTGTTACAGTACAGAACAGATTCTAAAACCATATGATTTTTTAAAAAATATGCAAAGAACAAGCTTGGCAGCCATGTTGTGAAATGGATCAGCTGCAGCTGTAATCATTTGTGGTTGGAGAGGCCGGAGCGTTCCTGGTTGGGTTGTGGCTTTGTCTAGAATTAAGAGGCTTATAAAGGAAGCCATAGAAACCCTGAGTTCCCCGATTGCTGTGGTACAGGAAACAGAGCAGTTAGTCAGCACCATTGTCCTGACTGGATTGTTTAAGATAGAATTTCAAGACAGCCTGAAAATGCTTCATGGCTTGATTACGTGGTTATTATCAGGCTTCCTCTTATCAAAATTTGCTTTAGAAACAATTGTGGGAAGAACAGCTCTGCAACTATCCTGAAATACCTACCTGTGACATTATCATTAAGTTCCAAGCCCTTTATATAATAGAGATTGATGTGAGGAGGAAAAAATAATGTCTCTTCTGGGTTGCTGGTCTACAGTATTTTGTCAGCTGGCTGTGTGATTATGCTGGGGAGCACCGTGAACTGTGGCTGAGTTCAGAAGACCCACTGGTACCTGTGCTGGTGCCAGGGCTCCTGTTTGAAATCACCTTTGTTTTGTTTTGTTCTGTTTTCTGTCCAGAGTCATGGCGTGATTAGCTCTCTGTTCTAGCTGTGCGGAGGACCTGCCTGACTCCCACAAGTGTCCCCAGAGAATGGCTCAGGTTCTGCAGACCCTATATTCTAAGTGCGACCATCCGAAGCACACCCCAAGGTGCCCTGAAAACCGACTCCTCGAGCCCTCGACTGCCCGCCCTTGCACTGAGAGCTTCCCAAAGGGAATGCCGTTGTGTGCCACATGCCAGGACGCTGAATCCCCATCTCTAGGTGGGGCCAGGACAGGCGTATTTTTGAAAGGCTCCCCAGGTGACTCTCGATGTGCACCTCTCACTAATAGTTCTAGTGTATCTTTATGAAAAAGTCGTAACCCACCAAGGACTAAATGATAATGAATTTGACATTTTAAATTCAGTGTGGTTAAGGCATTATGGAACGAACACATTTGTTGTCTTTTGGTAACTTTGGGTATTACTCAGAAAATGCGTTCCTGCTTCTGATGACATTTGCATTGGAAATGGCAAGGTGGAGGTGGCGGGGTGGGTGGAATTTTACAAGTTTCAGAACAAGTTTCCTTCCACTGCCGGTCCCAGGAATTTCTGTGGTGATGATGATGATGGTGAGATTTCCTATTCCGATCTTCAGGAGGATGACGTTGCACCTGGAGCTCCTTAAACAGGATGAGGGATCGCTGCTCCCTTCTCTCTTGGATGTATCTTCTCCACAGCTTTCCTCCCCTGTGTTTTCACTTCCTGCTGCCTTGCTGTGCCTCTGTGGCTTCCTGAGGCTTGATTCTGCCTTGCCCTCCATCCCTCGCTTGCTGTCAATTCCCCAGTCTGGCCCTGCCCTGGCCTGCGGCACCGCTTGTCCAGTTATCTGTGACCTGCCCTCACAGTGTGGACCCCAGATTAGCAGCTACAGCATCACCTGGGAGACCAAGAAAGGCAGGCGTTAGCCGCCCCCCACCCCCAACCTACTTAAATCTAAGTGCACATCTTAAGATCCCCCAAGCCAAGCCATCTGTGTGCACGTTGCAGTGCGAGGAGCACTGGCCTCAGGACGTCCTGTCTCCCCCTCCTTCCTGCCTGTTCTCACCAGTGCAAGCCTCTCTGTCACGTTGCGCTCCTGTTTTTCCACACTGTAAGTCTTGGCTTCAGGTTTCATTTCATTTTGCCCTTCATTCACTGATTCATTCAGAAATTCATGCACTGCCTCCCAGAGCTAAGAGTTGGGGCCGCAGGGAGCAAAACCAGACCTGCTCCTACCCTCATGAAACTTAGACTCTAAGTGGGAGAAGCAAATGTTAACTAACCACATCATTATTCATAACTGTGAAATTATGATGAGCACTTCAGAGGAGAGCCTAGAACACAGATGGGTGGTTACGGGCACCAGGAAGGCCTCCCCGAGGAAGGATGCTGTGCCGAGAACTGAGGTGTGAGTGGGAGTTAGTTGAGTGAAAAGCAGGAACAGCTTTCCAGGCAGAAGGAACAGCATGTGCAGAGGCCCGGTTCATTAAGGAAGCCTTGCAGAGAATTCATAAAAAGGAACACTGAACTGCTCTTAAGTCATTCATCTTTATGTGCTCTTCTGTCCAACCTTGTCAGATTTACACTCTCTTTATTCCGTAAGATGGCCTTGGCCCTTGGCTTCCTACCTGCGCAGTGGGACCATGGGCTCAGATGCACACTTTTTCGGGTTATTAGCCTACCCCTCCACAACTGCACTCACTGGTAAAACCACTTTCCTTATTGTTCCCTGAATATACCGTGGTCAGATTCTAACCTTCCCACTAATCCCCTCTTCATACGTGCATTCTTAGGTAAACTTGATATTGAAATACACAATACATACATAAAGGTGTGCACAAATCATAAATAGCCCGATAAATTTTCATAAAGTGGATACACCAGTCTCCTTAGCACCCAGATCAAGAAATAGAATAGTATCAGTCTCCCAGAAGACCCCGTGTTCCCCTCAGTCCCTACGCCCAAAAGTAACCACTATCCTGTTTTCTATAAGCACTGATTACTTTGGCCTGTTTGAAAGTTTCGTGTACCTGTGTTCATGCTGTAGGTAACCTGTTGTGTCTGCCTGCTTTTGCTCCACATAACGTTAGAGGACCTCATTCACGTCGTGTGTCACTGGAGTCCCTTTATTTCCTTTGCCGCCCAGTCATGCACCGTACGCCCCCACCGCGACTGACCCGTTCTGTTGGTGGGCATTTCGGTCTTTTCCAGTTGGGGCTATTAAGAAGATTCTTGTGGACATATTTTAGTGAAATAGATGGCCCATTTCTTCTGCTGGGAATATGTCTAGAAGGGGACTTGTTACGTCACAGGACATACATATGTCCAGTTCAGTAGATGCCGCCAGACGGTGTGTGCCCACCCACAGTGCATGCGCGTTCCTGGCGCCCCGCCCCCTGGTCAGCACTTAGTCTTGTCTGACGTCATGGCAGCCGTCCTGCTGGGCGTGCCATACTATTGCTTTGTGGTTGTAAGCTGCATTTCCCTGGCAACTAATGTGGCTCCTATATTCTAACAGCCTGTTTTCTTTCTCTTATTGATTCATAGGTGCTTTATATTTATTTGTAAATATATATTGCAAATACTTCTGTGGGTTGCCTTTTTATCGTTTTAGTTTCTTTTAATGAATAGAAGTTCTTAATTTCAGTGTGATCTAATTTGTCAGTAAATGTCTTTATATTTTAAATCATTTTTACACCACATTTAGTTCTGTAAAACCTTAGGGGAGGGATACGCAAATATATAAAATAGTAAAACAAAAAATTAAAAGCTTGAGAAGATTTAAACCAGGGAGATAATAAAACACACAAACAAGCCATGTAATCCTATGAACGAACATGTTATAATTTAACAATAAGTTTTGCTTAGAGCTTCATAGAAAACTCAAACAGAAACATGGCCTATTATATAGTTCTCATTATTCGTGAGGTCCTCATATTGTGAAAATCAAAGCGACAGGTATGGGGTAGGGAGGCTGTGAGGTGCATTCATACAGAACTGCTAATTTGCATACCAGAGCTAACAGGTGTATCTTCTGTTACAGGTTATTCAACGATAGTTATGACCTCCCGATTACGTGCGTTGGGTGGAAGAATTAATAATATACGCACCTCAGAATTACCCAAAGAGAAAACTCGATCCGAAGTTGTCTGCAGCATCCGCTTTTTAGATGGCTCGGTCCAGACCTTTAAAGTTAATGTAAGTTCTCCAAATTTAATTTTTTATGAGTTAATGCCCCTAACAAATCATTTTTTCTTCATCTTATAAATCCATCTTATAAAACAAGAGATGGAAACTATTTCAGAATGGAAGTTTGAGGTCTCAGGTCTTGTATGTTGAGACTGGACTCGAAATACCCTTAAAAAACTGCCCACACTCTCACCTCCACCAGGATTATCTTTCCCCTTCTCTCTTGTGACATGAACTTGTATGATTCTTAGATGTTACTTCTGTGAAGTCTTTGTCAGCTTCCTGAGCTAGCTCTCCAGTCCTGGTGCCCTGCATGTGCCTTATCAGAGCTCATGTCACAGTGCATGAACGATAGTTGTATTTATTAGGGTACGTGTTGCTCTTTAAGGCGTGAGCTCCTGGAGGACAAGAACAGTGTCCTTTCCCCAGTACCTAGCACAGGGCTGGGCACACAGCAGGTGCTCGTTAAACGTGCAGACGGGTGGGTTCTCTGTGGAGGGTAGCTGCATGGTTAGCCTCACAGGAAGGCCTGGGTGCTGCCCCCTGCAAGCCTGTGGCAGAGCAGGGTTAAGAAGGAGGATTCCAGTGTCCCAGGCCAGCAGTAAGATGCGAGCACGGTAGCCGTCCCTGCTGCCCCGCCCTGCCCTGCTCGCCACGTAGGCTCGTGACCTTTGCCTGTCTCTCCTACCCTCTGGCCAGTCCTAAAGGGCCCAACCCCAGCCCTGGGCTGGCTGCCAGCATCTTCCCGAGCCCAGCGAGTTCACTGTGTAAGGAAAGGTATCAGAAAGAGACGGTGGGGGATGAGAATAACAGGAGGGGGATAAAAGGCCACAAGACCTTAAAGGGTGACAAACACTGACCCTGTGTCTCCTGTGCCCCGCCCCACCCTGCCCCCGCCATAAGTTTGCTTTCTGCTGAGCCGTCACTATGGACCTTGATAGCTGAGCAGGAGAAGGGAGAGGGCAGTTTCTGTGAAGCCACAGTACAGTGGGTGCTGGTTTCTCCTTCCTAGCCCAGGGTTAGGAAAGTTGCCTTGTCCCCCGTGAGGGGACAAGACACAGGCCAATGACTTAGGACGTGGGAATTGGGGCCCCTCCCCTGGCAAAGTGGAAATGGACAAGAAAGACAAGATAGTCCCCAACTTTCTGCCCGCCTCCCCCATCCGCTCCCACAGGCGCCCAGGCCCAGGGCCCCATTCTCTTGCAGGTGGGGGGCATTACTGTGGTAGAAGGACGCACCCCAGCAAGGACACGTCATTGTCTAATTAGGTGTCTCTAGGATATAATTAGGGGCTTAGGACACACGCCCATGACCTGTTTCTTAAGCCAGTTTGTAGAAAAACCATCCTCCAGGGCAGCACTGTCCAAAAGAACTTCTGTGGTGCCGGGACACGGGCTGTGTCCACGCGGGCCCACACAGGGGCCGCTAGCCACGCGTGGCTAGTCAACACGGGAAGTGTGGCCGGAGTACCTGATGGACTAAGTCCATTTGAGTAAACTAAAACGTGGATAGTTTTTTCGTACTTTGGGTAGTGCGGCCCTTGTCACTGTTTCTTAGAGTACAGCAGACCCCCTCAGATGTGTGTTAGAATAGAAGCCCCTTGTCCTGCCTGGGTATTTGGAAACACCCTCTGGTTGTGGAGGCTGAGACTCTGCATCTTAACTGCCCTTCAAGCAATCTTGATGCACATTGCAGTCTGGAGAACCCACTGATTCAGGGGCCTTTTGTCTAGGTCATGCGTACTGCCTCCAAAAGCAACTACTTTAGTTCACTGAACTTTGTCCTACGTTCTGGTTCCTTTTAACCTTGTCATCTGTAGAATTTGGTGATTGAACCAGCTCTGCAAAGGTCACGCGGATCTCTTCCCGTTGCTGAATACTGACAGCTTAATTTCTCTCTGACTCCTGTGTTAAAATTTATGTTGTCAGTCTGGAGCTGTCCCTCAGCCGTGTATCTTCCTTCTTCCCGACCAGAACAGGGATGCTTATTTAACAGATGCTTCTGAGCACCTATGTGCCAGGCTTTATTTTGGCTCCAAAGGATAAGGCAGTGAACAAAATAGAGCAAAATCCCAGAAAGGAAATGGACCAAAACCAAATGTATTCTATGTAACTAGTATTATGTGCTTAGAAGAAACATAAAGCAGGATAAGAGGGTGGGGAGTGCCCAGGGAGGACAAGGGGGTGGGGTTGTCATTTTATAAAGGTGGTCGGGAAAGGTCTCGCCTAAAGGAAGGGAGGGAAAGAGTCCCGGCATTCCCGGAGGGGGTGCATTCCAGGTGAAAGGGGCAGCAGTGCAAAGGCCTCGCGGCAGGATCCCGGTCAGTGTGGTCACAGAACAGTGTGTGGAAGCCAGTACGTCCGAAGTGGGATGAGCAAAGAGGAGAGAGGCAAGAGAGGTCAGGGAGATAACAGGGGTAGGGGTGCGGAGGCTTGCGCGGAGCCTTGTAGGCCGTCCCGAGGGCACTGAGTTTGTTCGGAGTGAGGCAGAAAGCATTGGTCCGTTTGGGCAGAGACCCGACATGGTCTGACACAGGGGTCGCTCTGGGTGCTCTGACGACAGCACGTTGGGTCCAAGGGCTGAGAGGCTGCCCGGGCGGTCCAGGGGAGAGATGATAATTGGACAGTGTGGTAGTATGGAGGGGGCGGAGTGAACAAAGTCCAGAGATATTTTGAAGGTGAAGCCAGCGGGACTTGCTGGTAGCTGGGATTTGGCATGTAGGGAAAACCCCAAGGCGACTCCAAGGAGTTTGGCCTTGGCAATCGGCAGGATGGAGCTGCAGCTGACAGCGATGAGAAAGGCTGTGAGAGCAGTTGACGTAACCAGTTCTGTTGCCACCAGAACTGCTGCGTCGGGGATGCCTGCTGCTCATCTACGAGGAACTGTAAAGATGTGGTCGTAGCAGACACACGAGTCAGGAGTGTTAAGAGCAGGGTCTAGGCTGGGATACGTAGGTGGGTGTTACCAGGGGAGAGATGGTATCTGAAGCCATGAAACCGGATGGGATCCCCTGAGAAGCGAGTCGACAGGAGGTACGGAGGAGGCTCCGTGTGTGCAGGTGGGAGAGATGAGGAAGGAGCGCTAAAGGAAACAGGGCTCTCCAGGCGGGGAGGAGGCGGCCAGAGCAAGAGCCTCTGCATCCCAAGTAACAACGTGTTTAAGAAGGAGGGACGAGCCCTGTAAACGAGGACGAGGAAAGCACCCACCCCGGGTGGTCATCACACACGCCTTAGAGCAGGGCCTGCCTCCCGCGGGTGCCCAGTCATCCTGAGTTTTGAACGTCTTTATTACCGTCACTCTGCTGCCAGTGCCGCCTCCCCAAGTTTCCAGCAGGCTGGTCAAAGCTTACTCACCTTGAACTTGAATTTGGCTTGGCGGCAGCTTAGAATCTCCAGTGCTTTATATTTTTCTACTCAACGGGGATTGTTTGTACTGCCTCATTGAGACTCTTCAGTCCAGAACGTCTTTGGACCAGGAACGGACACGTTTGGGGAAGCTGACCTGGGCACCAGTTGTCCTTTGCCCAGCCCAAGGAGCAAGCCCGTCCCTGTCAGTGACCTGGTATAGCAAAGATGACCTGTCATGGGATGGGGACTGGGCTGGGAGGCTTGTTCTCATTACAAATGCGTCCCTTATTATATTTCAATTTCTTTTGAGAACTGGGCAAGTTGTACAAAATAGGTACTGGAATGGATGAGTTGTACGCTCCAGGGGGGGAGAGAGGCAGTGTCCTGGGAACACGTGGGCTTTGGCATTAAACGGCCCTGAGTCAGGCAGTCAGGCCATTTGTCCATCGGCTCAGGGCACAAGGCACGGCATTTCCCAGGGCCTCTGCTTATCGGCAGAGGGGTTGCCGATGACGACTTGTGGAGGTGCTGCAAAGATGAGACATGATGCATAAAAAGTGCTTGTAGTAGTAGCATGTCTTCCTCCTTGGAGATGTTCAATAGATTATCATTGTTAATAATGTAAAATATAAAGTCATAGAGGAATAATCGTTTCAACCAGGGGAGCAGGTAGCTCTCGGACGCATTTGAGAGGGCATCTCATAATTTAGGGGGAGAGAATATCTCATAATTCGGAACATGGGCCCAGGTCATCTTTTCCACAGCGTCATGATCCCCTTGTGATGGAGATGTCCGGGGCAGAGGAGGGGCAGGGACAGGGCCCTCCGGCAGGGAAAGGGGATGCGTTCAGGAAATGGGCGTGTCTCCTGTCCCCACACTTTAGGTCAAATCATGTGAGAACAGGCCAAAGGAGAGGCTGCAGGAGGGGGCCTGACAATTACCTAATGTCCTCCTCCTGGTCACTGCGACCTATTTTCAGGTACATTATCTGCACTCAAAAGAGCTGCCTTTGCTTCTGTATATGGTCTATTTCTGACTCATACTGTCCTGAAGTTAAATGGTTTGCTTCAAAGGATTCCTGAGAAGTCAGCCCGTTAAAGTAGAATTTGCAATTTCCCAAATGCCCCACGCTGTTTCCCACTCCTGTGCCTTTGTGCCGCGCTCCCTGCCTGAAATAGCTTCTCTTGGCTCCTGTACCTGGAGGGAACGGGTGTCACCCAGCCCCATCACCCTCCCAGTCCCGGGTCGGGGGGTGGTTTTCGCTTGACCCCAGGTTGAGTTGAGTGTTTGTGTTGTCCTCTCGTTCCCTGTGCCCTGAGTGTTTCATGGTACTCGAGAGCGTTTGACACACCGTGTGACAGTTGCCGCTTCCACGGCTGACCTCTCTGGGAGGGCAACAAGAGGACACTTGCCATGGCTCTGTCCCCGTGCCCAGCCTGCTCCATCAACCCTGAGCGCTGAAGGTGGATGCGCACTGCGCTGGACGTGCGGTGCAGTTGAATGTCCCCACTGGCTTCTCACTTCAGATGACGAGGAGCAGGGAAGCAGATAATCCCCCGGGGTGTCACATGCCAAATCACTTGGAGGGTATTTTGGGTGGCATTTGCGTATTCTTAGCCCTCTTTGTTCACGTGTTGAGTAGAGAGCTTTCTCTTCCCTGCGCACAGGCCTCTGCCTCCCGAGGAGCCTACGGGAAACCCTGGTGGGATTAGCATTGTGCTGGGGATAATCCACGGGTGGGTCTGGAGCGGTTGCTCTCCCTGTGATTGCTGAGTTTTCCGGTTTAGTCATCATCGCTGGGGACTCTCAGCTACGGGGAAGCAAGAAGTCTTACAAAATTAAACTCTACAGTCTTAAGTCGTTTTTATGTCGTTTTTCTTAGCCCTGCTTCCCATAGGTACTGCGTGGCTTCTTAACTTGAAGTTTATTGAAGCACTTCTTATTGTGCGATATGTATGCACATAAAATCCCTCTAAATTTTAACTCCTTTTTCCTTACAATAAAAAATTTTAACCACCAGTTCTTAAGTTGTTTTAGAATTTTGCCCACTCGTCTTTTTTTCCCCTAGAAACAAGATACCGGACAAATTCTTCTGGATATGGCATACAACCACTTGTGCGTGAGCGAAAAGGAGTATTTTGGTTTGCAGCATGGCAATGAATCCGTGGACTCCCCCGTGAGTACCATCGCTTTAGGGTGTGCTGGACTTCTGCACCGTTGGGTTTTATAGCTTATGTTTTCTTACCCAGCAGAGATGGCTGGAATCAAGCAAACCCATCAGGAAGCAGTTAAAAGGTGAGTGTAACCCTCTCATTTTACCTGAACACTCGGTTTTAGTGTATCATGGCCCAGTTCTCTCCTCCAATCAAAGGTCTGCCTGTGACGTCTGGTGCCTGGATTCCACAGGGTCCAGGTGACATGAGTGAGCTGACTTCTCCCTGTCTGACTTCTGAGTGAGCAGAGATGCTCCCAGACCAACCCCCAAGCGTCCCCACCACCTGTGAACAGCACAGGGAAAGGAGAAAGAAGGCAGCCAAGAGCCAGGGAACCAATGTTCTTTTCACAAGGGAAAGAGGATGGCCTTTCTTAGCCCAGCTGTGAGGGGCAGGGTGGGAAAGTGAGGTCAGGCACACACACCTCTAGTCCTTTCCAACAGCATATTTCCAACCACTGGAGCCCAAGGCATAGGCAGGTGATGTCACACATGTAACACACAGCTCAGCAACCATGAGCGGGTCCCAGTGCAGGTTAACTCCCTGGCAAGCGGGCTTTCAACATCACACTCTAGTGCTCTTTGTGCACCTTGTGCCCCAGATGAACCTGGCTGATGTGCTGGGCTGCACGCGCTGCTCTGTACCTTTCCTCATTCTCTTCTCTCTGTTGGGAATGCCTTTCCCTGCATCCAGATCTTGCCATTCTTCAGAGCGGCTCGGATCCCATGGCTTCCCCTACTGCAGGTCATGACTCCCTCCACCCTCCCTTACGCTTGTCATCATCTGCTTTGTGCCTCCAGCACTCTGTCTGTCGTCTCGTAGTTTTCTGCCTTCATCTTTCTCAAGGAGCTCGCAGGGTTGCAAGGTGAGGGCCAGCTCACGTCCTCTCTGCACTCCTTGCATCATCCCCACACAGGAGGTGGCCAGTGAGCGGCTGGGGGTGATGGCGGGTGCGTTTGCGCACACAAGTGTGCGCCCACCTATGCCGCAGCCCCGGCCCCAGATGGGAGGGAGGAGAAACAAGCCGCCCTGGCCCTGATCCCCCTGCTGCTCTCACCTGGGAGCCAGGCCTTCCAAGTCCTTATCTCCGATGAGCTGTGTCCTTGGCCATTCAGAAGCACCCATAGGGAGCCACAGAGCCTTTGTGCAAATCGCTGCCTGCTGAATTCACAGAGGGGCGAGTGCACACAGGCATGGGGAGGTATTGTCATCCTTTCTCTTACTGACGCATTCATTCAGCTGATGGGTCCGAAACTCAGACCTTGGAGAGGCACTGGGCTCAGCTCTGGGAATCTGGTCCCAGTCAGATTTGGACCCTACTCTTAAGGTGCTCACAGCCAAGCGTGGGGACTCTTGACAACGGCAAAGACAGTTGTAGGATAGTTTTGAGCACATGCTAGGGTGCTCCGGGTGCGCAGAGGGTGAGAAGGACTTGGACGCATGCCCGAGACACACAGCGACAACTTACAGAGGTGGGGGGGGGGGCCTACAGGGCATCCCGAGGCGGGGGGCACTTAGCGATGCCCTGATGTGCAGGTGGTCAGCTGGCACCCAGTGACAGCACCACCCACGCTGGCACTCAGGCACCGGTGCAGAAGCGTGTTAATAGGTGCACACACACCAGTTACAGTCTATGACACAGGCCAGAGATACAGAGAGATGACACTGAAGAGAGGGAAGGGTGGAGCAAGAATGAAGTAAGGTAGAGGAGACGCGTGAGAGGAGGAGGCGGGCTTTCAGAGAGCAAGTAAGTGCTGAGCACTTAGATAGGGCCACTGGGCAGTTACTTACTGAGTAGTGGAGAGGGATGAGATTGACCTTCGGTAGAGCACAGATCTTAGCAACACAATCTGATCCTCTCCTGTTGCTCTACCTAACACAAGAAATGGGCTCATTTTATTCGTGCAAGCAGAATGACTTTTGGTATCCTTGCGTAAAGCCATAGTTAAGTATGTTAATTATGTGATATTTGCTAGTGTATTAATCACTTTTGGAATTCACTTGCATTCAAAGCATGGCATGTTTTCCAGTATAAAAATGTTTTTTGAAACGTGACATAGCAGAATCAGAAACCCCAGTGCTCCAGCTCTGGCTTAGGGATCAGCTGTGTGACCTCAGGCAAGTCACATCTCTAAGCCTGTTCGCTGGCGTCTGTGTAGAAGGCTGCTGTCCTGCTTGCTCACAGTCGTGGTGGTGTGAACATCAAGGACGTACATGAAAGTGTTTGAAAAGTATAAAATCACTATATATGGGAGATAATATTTCTTTGTGAATTCTGTATAATCTGCAGATTTAAGGATTTTTTAAATTCCTGAAGCAGATAATGGGGTGCACTGCTTGAGCAGCCCCAAGTTAAGCCTGTAATGGGAAGTAGGTAATGCCTCGTTCAGTGCTGATGTTGCAAAAATATTTTACTGCTTGTAGACATGGAGATTTCTGAACAGTTAACTTATGTACTCTTTTTTTTGAAATTAATGCTTTTATTGATGGAAAAGCTATGAAATTAATGCTTTTATTGATGGAAAAGCTGTGATCTAGTGAAAAATGCATCGCTTACGGGAGAGTAGCTTACATACATTGACTTTTTTAAAGGGAAAATTTAATTTGTTTTTAAAAAATGTTGTAGGAGGTTTCCCCTGTACCCTGCATTTTCGAGTAAGATTTTTTATACCTGATCCCAACACACTGCAGCAAGAACAAACCAGGTAATACATTTTATTAAAGTTTTCTCTTTAGTCTATAAAAATGAGTAATCACTGAAACTGTACTCTTTATTTTATCACTGTGGCCAAATCCTTCATTTGGGTGTAACTGCACAACAATCATGATCCAAGTAAAAGTTGGGGTACACAGATTGAAATTTTAATCGGCTAATTCATTTTCAGTCTTGGGCCTGCTTCCATCGCCTCCTGATTGGCTGAAATTCCCAGCACACTCCCATCTGCCGCCTTCTTCAGAGGTGGGGAGGGGAGCCCAAAGGGCATCCCAAGCCTCCCCCCACCCCCACCCCCACCCCCACCCCCACCCCCGCCTCTGGTGCCTGTTGAGCTCCTGTATTCAAAGAACAAGTTCCTTTCTCCTAATGCAGGCAGGGTTTGGAAGAAGAGCTTGTAAACAGTCACCTACTGACCAAGTAGCATGGTATCTCTGCAGGGCTAGAACTGAGTCTCTTCCGGATAACAGGAGGTCTCTAAGCTAAGGATTCTCTATCAGATCCCCAGCTGGTAGGAGCTGGAAAGGAGAACAAGCTGGGCCAGCTTCTCTCCTCAGTGAATCAGCCAGTGCAGGCAAGGTGTGAACCAGATAAGGGAAAGAGGGCTGCGGTAGAAGTTGTTTACCCCTCAGGGCTTGGTGTTTGGCGGAAGCTTTGTGCTGGTGCACGTGGGTTGCCCAGGTGGGGAACAGTGCTTGGAATGGAGGGGGCGGGCACAGGAGAGTTGTTGCTGTTTGAACAGGTACAATGCAAACTCAGCCATGCCTCTACTCTCCCCCATGGCAACGTTAAGCCCTTTTATTGTTGATACTTTTATTTTTCTTGGGTAGGGGGACTCTGCCACTAGGAAAAGCAGTGAATGGATGTTCAGAAATATTGAATCTGTTCTGTGCACATTGTGGCCGTCTGCCCACCACCAGACAGAGAATGCTGCCTTGTTTTCCTTCCTTTCTTTTTTTAATGGCAGTCACATGATCACATATTTTAACTTTTAATATGTTTAAAGGCCAAATATTAGTCTGTTACTCTGTTTTGCCTTCTTCGCACACCTCTCCCCTCTACAGGAGCAGACAGTGGAGATTTGGCTCTGTGTACCGGGAAGTTAAACTGTAAGCCAGTGCAGGAGACGCCCGTCACGACTCAGTGGGTAACCGTGGGCAGTGCACACGGAGGTTTGCGTTTTCCCCCTTAGTGGCCGGTATTCTGGTGGATTAAGCGAAGTGTAGTAACGCTAGACCTCACAGGTCAGCCCAGAAGCCCACAGACACAAAGTGGTGACATCATCTATAAGAATATGTGCTTGAAACAACCACAAGCCATTACTAAATATCAAATTCGGTCCAAGGAATGCTTTAAAGATAGCATGATGGAGTATATATATATATATATATTCTATGTATATACATGTGTGCAGTGAGCTTTTTAGTCACAACCACACAGTAAAAATGTATTTTGATTCATTACACAGGTATACATAAATTGCTGAAGCAAACATTTCATAAAACAATAGTAAATGCAAAAGTACCCTAAAGTTTGCTGCTGTTCTTTTTCCTTTTAAAATGCCAGTTGCAGACCATTAAATTGATTTTACTACCAACTGATGGGTTCCAACCCCAAGTGTGAACTGTGCTGCCTGCATTTGTGATTGTCCCCCATCGCCCTGTCCCTTCCCTGTGATGCTCTCCACGGAGCGAACTGGAGTGCGGGGGTTGCCGGGACCATCCCGATGCACGCGACCCTCCAGCACCCTTGGGCACGGGGTGCTCACTTCCATTCCCCAGGGGAAGGAAGCTCACTCCCTTTGGGAGCTGTCAGAATCGTCCCACTCAGCCTCCCTGACTTTAGAGGGAAATGTAGGGAGAGGACTTGCGGAGAGGCAAAGGCTGCCTTCAGATCTGCAAACGGCAGGTGGCAGTTGTGGGAGAGGAGGCATTAGACGTGTTTGGTGGTAGAATTACGGCCAGTGGGTGGAGGCTGCAGAAGGGCAGGTTTTGGCTCAAGACAAGTAGTAGACTGATTTTTATTTTTACCCAAGCCCCATATAAAATTTGGTTTGTCTGTGTGTTCCTCCTAAAATTCAGTTCTTCAGGGCTGAGAGCCAACCACCAACCCCACCCCGGCCCCTGCCTCCCGTCTCAGAATAGGTGGTGTCCCCAGGGTGATGCAGAGTATAGCCGTCACCTCCTAGGAGTTGGGCACCAGATTTCTCTTTAATGCAGCAAGGTGCCATGGCAGCAGCCACCCCTGTGGCTCCTGTGGAGCTGGGCCAGGCTTCCACCATTAATTGATTTCATTAATTTATGTGTATGTTTTGTTTTGACTAAATGAAGAGTTTTACTTGTGCTCTGGCACATAGCATTTTATGAAGCCCCAGCTCTACAGCTTGCCCAGAAGTTAAGTTCCCTGTTAGAAATTGAGCTGTTAAGGGTCCAAGAAGGGGTACGGTGGCAGTATTTGTTGTTTGCTAAGGATCCAGGGAGGGAGGCATTTGTTGCTTTTTTCGGAAGTTGAGCTCCTGGAGGGGGTACAGTCTAGGAGTGACCATTGCATTTCTGAGAACAGGCTCGCCAAGCATCTCTTCTAAATGTCTTTCCTTTATTCTAACTGCCAAATAAATGCCTCCTGGATGGTGAGCCTTCCCGACTGCTGTTTCTGATAAATTTAGATCATTGTAAACAATTTCCTTTACTGGAAGACTCAGATTGGGCTCCTTTGAGATGCCTGGGGGTCTGCTAGGTCTGGGTCCCACCCCACTGTCCTGATGTGTTCGTGATGATGTCACAAATTTTACGCAGGAGCTTTGCTGAAACTGCACGACAATGAGAATGTACTTAATGCCACCGAATGGTACACTTTAAAACAGTTACAATGGTACCTTGTATGTTAGGTATATTTTACTACAGTGAAAAAATTAAAATTACAAAATCAGTCAAACAAAAGAAAAAAGCTTTGCTGAACATATGACAAGGTAGCATTTGATGGATGGCGACGTCCATGCTAATGTTCTCATTTGTATCCCTGGGAAGACGCCCCGATTAGCTGGGCTCGTCCGCGAAAGCCCAGCTTTGCCATTGGATTATCCCTAATTCTCTCCCTTCTCTTTTTTCTCTCAGTAGTATTGTGGGAGGAGAGAACACTTAATTCTGGTTGAATGTCAGCTTGGTTAAACATAGCAACAAACTAGAAACGACTGATTAGGTTCTCGTAGGTGGAAAAGGTAGAGATTCCAATATGGAATAAACATGAACCAGCAAATCTGTGTCACGCTGTCTCTTCAATGCTCGTCTTCAACCCACTGAGGGTAGCTGATGGTCATTATGGTCAAAGTAATAATACCAGAGTTAGGAAACGGACCCTAAGCTTTTTGTCATTGGACCCATAAGAAATTTGTAGCATAGTCAGATATCTTTCCATAGCATAAGTGTCCACGTTAAAATGAGACATAACTGATCCTACGTAACCCATGTGAGTATCTGTTCCTTCATCTGTGAAGAACGGAGATAGTGGTACCTCCCTCACAGAGCTATTATAAGGCTAAAATGAGGCAGCAAGTTACACAATACCACGTGCACAGCCCAGAGCTATGCAGATAGGAAGTTGTAATACCATGGGGAGCATTCACGTCTCAAAACACCAGCACCTTGACCTTTAAACATAAATTTGAAGGAATAATGAGAATGCTCTGTTTAAATGGCCAAAATTCTCTCTCTCCTACCCCTAAATTGTATTTTAAGAAGTTTCGCTTTTGCTATCTTGGCCAGACACTGGAATGTCTATCCCACTTGAGTCCGGGCTTTAAAAAAGAGTGGGAGCTAGCGGCCAAGTGTCACGGGTATGCTGCATCCCTAAATATAATGCTCTCCAGGGCCCTTCCTAGCCCGCCCAGCACCGCGGATGCCTCTGTGCCCCGGTACCTGGGTGGAGGGCAGACTCACAGGACGAGGTGGTGCCTGTGACGACTTACTGAGCTCTGTCCCTGAGTCAGGTCCCGGGTTTTGAAGTGACATTGCTCACAAAGAAGTGCAGAATCCAGCTGGGAGGTCTTGGCAGCCTCCCGTCTACTGTTTCACTTGTGCTGGAACACCCACAGTTCCCGGGACACAGGAAAAAACCCAGCTGGGTGTTCGCTCCCCAGCCAAGGAGATGTTTTCACAGACCCCCCCTCCCCTCAGCGGCTTCATGCAGAGGGTACGTGGGTGTGCAAATGCCACGTTCAGAGCAGCAGCCCCTCACGTGTGCGGGGGCTGCCTGAGCAGAGCGTCACCGGTGCTGGTGCTCTCAGATACCCCGAGTTTGATGGGGGAGGTCCAGGCCAAGGGTAGGGCCCCCACTGACCGGCTGATCCTTGACGGGCTACTTCTACCCCATCCATCCCTGCTCAGCCAGCCCGAGGACAGCATGTGCTGGCATGAGGCGGGCGGGAAACTGCCCCTGCCGGTCAAGACCGAGGCAGCCACCCGAGCCGTTATTAGTGAAGGGGCGGCTTTGAAATGTGCAAAACGGTTCCCAATGCTTGAGATAAAAATGTGCCTTTATGTATTTTGTTTACCAAATGTACAAGTCATATTTCAATTTGAGTATGATGAATTAATGAAAATAATTGTTTCATAGGCATTTGTATTTCTTACAACTGAAGATGGATATTTGTGAAGGAAGGTAAAGAGAATTTTGCATTCTTCTTTCCCTGTCAGTTGCCAGCCTTGCGTAGTTGCTGGTTCTAATCGAATGAGCATGCATTCCTGGTAACAACACTAAATGTAAACAAAGAATGGATGTTAAAGCAGCATCCTGTACGACATTATGCCTTGGACATCCGTGTTCAACTCAGTCCTGGTGAAGAGAGGCTAAGGATCAATAAAATTCGTTTTATGTTGTTTTAATTCTGTTACAAAAGGTACAGTTATCTTTCTGGTATAGACCTGAAAAATTTTAAAGGGAGGGAAGGAGCCCAAATGGAAAATGGATTTCCCTCAGGGAGGCCCATCAGGCCTAATTTAGGTCCACTTCAGAGCCCCTCAGTACCTGTGGATGATTCATTTCCTCCCTGGGACACTTTTTCGCTCAAAGACGTGAGCACCTGCCCATGATTCATCACTTCTTGTGTATCAGGACCATCTCCGTGGCTGGAAAGCAATCTGCAAATAACACAGAAAGGGAGAGGAGATGCCAAGCCAGTGGTCCCTGAGCTACCTCCTCCAAATCCTGAGTCTTTTCTTGACTTATGGGAGAAAGCACGGCAGGTAAACTGGTGGGGACAGCCACATCTTATTCCCCTTCTCATCCCCTTTCCTCCTGTCAGTTTAGCTCTTCGAGGTGGGTCTTCAGAAGCCTCCCCTGTGTTTGCAGGCTGGTCAGGGAAGTGAAACAAGAGCCCACAAAGCAGTTAGGGCCAATAGGGGCCGTGGAGACCACGGGTTTTCATAGGTCCCAGGAGAAGGAGTTGCGGGTGTGGGCTGACGTCTGTGAGGAGGATGTCGCCTGTCAGGGCTGAGCTGAGAGCAGAATGCAGGCTTGCAGTGTTCTTTACTTGGGATGTACACTATTCTTTGGAGGTGTTTTTCTTTCTGACTTAACCATAGGATTGCTTCTTCCATCTAGACCGAACCCCCTTAGCCTCCCTCCTGAGTTGTTCACCAAATCCCATTCAGCTGCTCTTCCTGTCGCAAGGACCCTGGCTTGGATTTCACCAAAGCCCATCTTGGTAGGAGAGTGAACGGCTGTTGTTTGCTCTCCCCACGGACTCTGGGTCCCCAGATGAACAAAGAGACAGTGGGTGTCCTTGGATGTATCCCCAGCCTTGGAGAGATCACTTAGAAGTTCCAGTCGGGGCCAGAGTGGGAAGCCCACCTTCCCATGTGACTGCAAGGCCAGTACACAGCACAGGGACCGGAAGGGGACCCCTGGCGGGCCAGCCGGCTTAGTCGGAGAGGTGGAGAGGTGGCGGTGACTCACATCTTCAAGGGCTGCCATGGAAACTGCATGTTTTCTCAACTTCCCATGGGGTTGCTGGGAAGAATGCTTTTAAAATCTGTCTCCCCAGGCTGCAAGCCCTCGGCCCTGCTCCTGCGCTCAGCCCCTCCCCCTTGCCTTCCTCCACTGGGCAGTGATCCCTGCCCTGGGTCTGCTGGCCGGGCTCCTAGGAAGGCCGCGGAGCCCCAGGCCGAACGGGGAAAAGGGAGCGCTCAGAGGGTTTGAAATAGGACCAAGACCGAGAGGAAATCACTGGCAGAGAAGGAGTGTGTGGGAGGGAGAGAGCTTAAGAAGGCGGAAGAACAAGTCCAGCCTGGAGTCTGGGGGTTCCTGGTGGGTAGTAGAAAAACTGAGAGGTGGGCAAACCATTCCCCATAGGGTCGAAGCTTCAGGAGAGTAAATAGAATTGGGGGATGGTAAAGACCTATAACTAATTGAACTATGTAATTTAAAACTCACTGGAGTTTTAAAATTCATCATACTTTTCTATTTTTCCGCTTTAAGAGGATGTCGCCCTCCCAGAAAGTGTGTAATCCACAGCATCAGTATACCTCTGGGATTTAGTTAGAGAGCCCATAAAAGTCTCAGGTCTTTACTAGAAAGATACAAAGGTTGCCTCTTGATCTAAGAGTACAATTTTCTCACATTGACCTCTTAGTGATGTGAGCCTGGCCTTTCTTGACCAGCCAGAATCCTGGCCCACTATGACTTTCATGGTATATGTATTAATGTGTATTATTTTAAACATGGAAAGGTTTTCTTTTAATTTTTAGAAATCTTCAGTGTTACATTTATCTTGACTGCTTAATATTAGTTGTATCATAAAATTATCTTTATTATGATTCATGGTGCATTCTAATGGTTAACTCAAGAAAGAAAAGACAGGTGATCAAGGAGTGTTTTGGGCCCCAGTGCCTTTTTCCTAACGTGTTTTTCTCCTGACAGGTTGACCTGCCCTCTTAACTCAGCGGTGGTCCTAGCCTCCTATGCAGTACAATGTAAGTCGCCACAGGGGCGCCTCACGAGTGAACAGGTCGCGGGCTTCCCTGGCTTGACCACGTCCCTGCTCCTCTTCCCCAGGGGTCCTGTTGGGAAAGCACCTCCGGTTGTCCAAAGAGTTCCACTCACACCCTGACTCACACTATTCTTCGGCTCAGTTGATTAAGGAAGGGGGTTAAAGGAAAAAGAGTGGATGAGCTGTAGTGTAAGGTTTTCTCCCAGGAGAATGCGTGAAACAGAAGACACCTATCACACGTTACGTTTCCAGAGGAGGCTTTGCTCACATTTTGGACATTATGCTCTCCATAACAAATCCCAGTGGGGCAGATATTTATACCAGTCACCTCTTACAGACTTGGAAACCGAGACCCACCTAAGTTATGGAATTTGCTGGAGGACATTCCTGCTACTTGTTTGGTGCCGCTCTAAATACTGCTGGGATCTTAGGAATTTATTTTTAGAGTTTCCATAGAGCTAATGGGCTATATATATTTTATTGAATAGCAGTGCCGTCCAATAGAAATGTATGTGAGTTGCCTACGTAATTTTAAATGTTTTAGTAGCCATATTAAAAAAGTAAAATGAAACAGGTGAGCTCAGTTTTAATATACTTTAGCCCAGTATTTCCAAAATATTATCATTTTAATATGTAATCAATGTAAAAAATTATCAACGAGGTATTTTACTTTTTTTGTACTAAGTCTTTGGAAGCCAGTCAGATTTTACACTGACAGCACATCTCATTGTGGACTAGCCATATTTCCAGTGCTCGGTAGCCACATGTGGCCAGTGGCTGCCAGACTGGATAGGAAGTCCAGATGGACCTTTCCAACAAGGCCTGTTTAAGCTGGAGTATGAATCTACTCATTCAATCAGCAAAACTCTGTTGGGACTGTGTGTTACAATGGCCCCGTGGCAGACATGGGTATGTGTGGTGGAAAGGGTGACCAACCAGATGGACGGCGAGGTATTTGCTTTGTGGTTAGCTCGTTGTATGGTGCCAGCACGGGACACCGACAGAAAGCTCATGCAGAGCCGCGTGGCAGCTTAAGACTTAAGAAAGCCCCTCTCCCTTCTCCCCACACCATGCAGGCCTGCCACCCTCTTAGCTGACTGCATGGTAGCGAGTTGAGAGGGCAGGATGGTCCAGGCATAGAGCAGGTGCTGACTGAACTACTCACCCTACTCTGGTCTCAGAAGAGACAAAGTAGCAAGAGAAGTCTGATAGAGACCCCTGAGGTGGCCTTAGGTCTGCCTACTTCCCTAGCAGCAAAGAACAGAAATGGGAGAGCCGAATAGCAAGGTGGCTGGGCCTGCAGCTTACCTGCCAACCTGCCTAATACCAGGAGGTGGAAGAGAGACTTTTAACACTGACCCTACTTACAAGTGAGACAAGACCCAGTGGTAGCCTCCCCCTCCCCCTCAATAGCCTGCATCTCCTTCTCCCCGATGGGAAGCTGAGAAGAGGTTGCAGAGGTAGGCCTGGCGGGGGACAGGGCGGGTTGGAAAGTTCGCCTTTCCCTGCAGCACGTCTGGAACAGACCTGGCCACGTCACGTCCGTGTGGGAAATGGCACATCACCCGTCAGCTCCATTCGTATTGCTCTGTAGACCTTGGGGCCTCTGTGTCTGCCAGGCTGATCAGCTGAGGAGACCAGGCTTTCCTACACCTCAGAGCTCATTTGGGGTTCATCACTGGAACTTTAGGTTTGAGGGACAGGAACACTCGAAAGGATGCAGGACACAGGCTTGATTTAAATCCTGACTTCTGCATTTGTCACATACGTGAATCTCAGTTTTCTCACCTGTAAGATGGAGGTGATGTTGGTGATTATGGCAACTTGCAATATGACTACTTGGTCAAATAATATACATGAAGGTGCTCTATAGCTATGAACTTTTTATAGTTGGACCATTGCTATTAACTGAGTCAGTGAGAGCACAGACAAACTGGATTACCTGGGTCTTGCTTCTTCCATTTAACACCTGCCTGACCTTGAGCCTCTCCAGGCCTCAGCTTCTTCATCTGTCAAGTGGGGATGCTAACAGTGTCAACTTCATAGGGTTGTAGTGAAGATGATATGAGTCAATATGTGTATAGTTCTTAGAATAGTGCCTGGCACATGGCAAGTGTTAACTATTACTGTGTGTTCATGTCTGCCCAGTAGAAAGCTTTTTAGAAAGTACTGCCTGTTAGAAACAAATTCTATTTACAGTAAAATTTAAGAATGGAAAAAAAATCTTATTTTAAGCTTCAGTAGTCATGTTTCACTCTGCAAAAGACCAATAGATTGGGGCTAAAGAAAGTTACTGGCCTCTAAAAAGTGCAAACTAGCATCAGTGGAAATGCTAGCTTGACTATCATGCTAAGTGACATTGCAGGTTGTCATGCAAGCAGTTTTAAGTACAAGTTCTTTATTCCTCCACCTTCAGTAAATACATTTCTCCATATTCTGTATGTACATTTCTATAACATTAATTTTTAGATAAAAAATTGCTGGATCAAAGGGTATACCCTTTGTCTAACTTGAAGACAAGCCCTACCTACCAATGATCAGTGAATCAGAGAATCAAAGGCACGTTTTTTTCACTGGATAAGTTAAAGTGATCTGTGGGTGAAATGCCTGAAAATTCTTGATAGTGGAAGATTGCTGGAATGCTGCCAAGGGTTTATGTGGCTCAAAGAATAACGTTTTCAGAAACACGTATTTACTCCACAACGCCCTGGGAGCCGCTGGCCCGTGTGGGTGCCGCACCAGGCTCCATACGCACAGACAGGCAGCACGGCTGCCCAGCGCAAGGCCCGCAGCCCAGAGGGAAGGCAGAGGTGGGCCAGATGAGGCTGGCAGTGAGGATGAGCACAGAGGCGGGGGGCGCGGGGAGTCCGGAAAAGCTTCCTGGTGAGGACCCCTGAGAAGAGCCTCGAAGCTCGAGGGGAAGTTGGATAAATAGCTTGAAATGCCACACATCTGAGTTCCTGCAACATACCCTTTCTTTTTTACAAAATATAAAATATCAGCCAAAAGAATACTTGGAACTTAAAAGACAAGGTATTTCCCATGTATAAGCCCTATCTCCTTTTCTTTCTGCCCTAATTAGCGTTTGCATGTATTGCCTGGGCGTGTGGTATAGTAAATACATAGAGTATGGACTGTGGTCAAAGTCTAGGCTCCAAGTTACCAGCTGAGCAACAGTGAGCAGGTCCCTTCCCTGAGTCCCAGTCCCATTACCTGTTTAATGGGGATGAAATTATCACCTTCCGGTGGGTTATCAGGAGCATCTCCTGCGATGATGTCCTTGAAACCAAAGTGGGAACAGTTCTGTGCCTTGCAAATGTTTGTGTGACCTGTTATCTTTGTTTCCCCCTAGTGGTTAGCACAGGACTGTGCACAGAGAAGCTGACTAAGATTTCAAGGGAAAACCACCCGTACAGGGAGGTTCATCGGTCCTGTGTTAAGTTCAGATGTTTGCTGGTGACTTGACTAAAGAGAAAGATGCTGTTCATCTTGGGATTGGGACTATTAGTTATACGATGGGTGCCCAAATCAAGATCCAAGAGGATCTTCTGAGCTAATGAAACAAACAGTAAAATTTAGGAGGACTTTGCGCTGAGTCTTAGGAAAATCATTTGCAGCATTTGGTTACCACCTGAGGATGTGACCACTGTCATCACCAAATGTCCAGCAGCGGCTTGGGCCTGGCAGGCAGGTGGTGGACTGGCAGGAGCGCTAGCGGGGGTGTGGGTCACCTGGGTTCCGATCTGGAACGCTGAACAATGGCTCTGTGATGAGGGCAAGTCTCCTTCCCTGTCCAGACCTTAGGTTCTCCCCCTTTCATGTGAGGAGTTTGGATGAGGGGATTCTAGGGCTTTCTCAAGCTTTCCTCATTGTGGACCCTGTGTCAGGGTATCTAAGTTACTTCCTGTAAATGCACTGTTGTGTACTTCGCAGTGCGCAAAATCACATGTAAGCCACTCTGTGCTGACATCATATAGCCTTGACACCTCTGCCCACGGCTTAGCCTCGTTTGGCTGGCCTTCACGGCCCGTGGTGTGCCCTTGACCAAGTCTGCAGGCATAGACTTGACTGCTCTCTTCCCCTTCCAAAATTGAACTTGGCAGTAGCCTCTATACAAGTCAGTTCTAGGCACCACATCCCTGAGTGCCTACTACATGCCATGCCTAGGGGCGAGGCCCGGGAGATGCTTCGGACCCACTCCCAGCCCACGAAGAACAGCATATGGAGGAAATGGCTCCCGTCCTTGCAGTGTGACCTCAAAGAGCAGCGCTTGTGTGTGATGGCAGTGGAGGGTCCACAAGGCTGAGTGGATGTAAAGAAAGATACCCTTGCACCTGACCTTTCAGTTTTGTGTTTGAAATTCTCCTAAGTGGCCACCTGGCTCACATCCTTTCCTTCTGGGATCGGCCATGGTGCATCCTCAGTCCTCCCCAGTCCACGTTCTTGTGATAGAGTTGTGTTTGATTTAGAAGCCTTCTGTTGTTGAGCGGGTGCCCTGAAAACACCGTGAGTCCTCAGAAGCCCCCGACATTGAAGCCAGCTGCAGGAGGAATTCATTAAAACCTTTGGAAAGATAGATCTAGGCTCATGTTTATAAGAAAAAGATGAAATAGTCTTTTTTGTTTTGTCAAGAAAAGGAAATAGTAGAGCACTTGCCCATCAGAGCCAGAAGGTGTCTTTCTCACTCCTGTTTTTATACCGATGGAAAAACTGAATCTTGGGGGAGGGAAGTAGGTGTCCTTGGGTCCCTCACACCAGATCCTTGGCTCCCCGCCCAGGATTCTTTCCCCCAGTCTCCTCCGCAGTCCAGGCACCCAGGCGGCTTGAGTCCCCAGGGCAGCCGTGTGCACTTGCGTAGGTTGAGCACCGCCCAGCTCTCAGGAATACGTACCACACCATGGGCCTCAGTGGGTCGCGTCTGCGGAGGACAGTCAAGCATCCGGAGGGAGAAGTGCCGTCTGGACCAGGGGCCAGTCTGGGAGTTCCTGCAAAAGAACCCCCTTTTCTCTTGCCTCTCTGGTTGCAGGTCCCCAACAGTATTTCCCTATTGCTCTGACAGCCCCAACATCTGTCTTCCTTCCTTCTGACTCCCCTATTTCCTTCCCCTCAAAACTCTTACATGAGCCTTGCAGGGACCTAGGCCCTTCAGTCCCACCCACTGCCACTCCTCATGCTCCCCGTCTTCTCCCACCCCAGGGCCTCTGAACACATCCTGGTTCCCTTCTGCCTGTGCTTCCTGATTTCCGGGGAGTGAGTCAGCATGGCCTCCCTCTGGCCTCGCCCGTTTTTTTAGAGCAGGTTGGTTCAGTGTTAAATAACCTTGGGGACTCCAGGAACCTGCACAGCGCCTGGCGTACAGAGAGTGGCATTTTTCTGAGTGGGTTCTCTTGTTTTCTTTGCCCAGGGGTGCGCACCAAGCACTGTGCTGACCAGAGTGAGGAACAGCTGTGGGGTGAGAATAGGAAGGACCTAGCTTTGAGCAGTCTCCCCTTTCCCCCTGGCGCAGCCTCAGGGACAAGGAGGGTTTGGTTGGAGCACATGTGGCAGTACTTCGCCCGCTGGGAGAGTTTGAGTAATGAATGTGGATTCTGGAGCTAATGGGAAGCTTGGGCTCATGTGGTGGCAGAACTTTTGGAGAGAATATTTCCAATTGAGGTTTTTCTTATGATTCAATAGATGCTTATAAATACAGACCATGTTGAAAAGGCAATTTCCTCCTCATTCTGTCTTGATAGCTCATTTTGGAGACTATGATTCTTCCATTCATCATCCAGGCTATCTCTCGGATAGTCAGTTCATACCAGATCAGAACGATGACTTTTTAACGAAGGTGGAATCTCTCCATGAGCAGCACAGGTGAGAGGAGAGTTGGGGTGGCCTACTTTGGGACCGTCGGTTGGGTACTGTCAGCTCCGTGTCCCCTTGTATTGCTGTGTTCTCCTCTCTCTTTTGTTCATGAATCCTCTTTCAAGATGTTGGGGGTTTGTGAACCTTTGAGCTTTATGAGGGCATGTATATTTGGCATAAATGGCGTGCTGTGAAGTGTAAAAATGCAGCAAGCATTTAGGGTGATTTGCAGTGTTCTCTTTCAGGATCTTGTTGAAATCAGTTAACCCCTGGAGGAAAGGCCCATTTTTAAGTGACTGCCCCACAAATTGGCCCCACCAGGCAAACCTTTTTAATGGGCTACCCCGTTTAATAAAATGGGCCGTCCCTTCAGGTAGGATTGAAGACACAGGCAGACGGACAAAAAGCTGACAGGCTGGGTCCATCCGAAGCCCTCTCTACCTTCAGCTCGTGAAGTTGCCTCACTCCCAGAAGCATACCCCTGGCTTCTGTGCTGTCTTGGGCCAAGCCTTTACTGCAACAAACATGCCCCATCTGGCCTCCTCTTCTCTTGCCTCAGTTACGGTACCCCCACCCCCAAGGGGAAGGCCGAGTCTCAAGGGACTCATGTTCTTGGGAAGGCCATAAAAGCAAAGGCCAACCACCCAGTCCCTTCTAAAGGCACTGCCAATCCTCTCTCCCAGAATTGCTCCCCAGGCAGAAGCCAGCGTCCTAAAATAGTACAGTGACGTTTGGAAGTTTGAGGCTGCTGCTAAAAGGGTGGATGAAGGCAGAAAGACCTAAAGAGCAGCTATTAAGCAGCTGGGAATAAGGAGGGTGGAAATTCCGAAAGGTGCCAGTCTTCTGTGTCTGAACGCTGCAAGCCTGCTAAATGAGAAGTATTATTTAACGAAGAAATGAGTGGGCCAGGCGAAGTCGTCTTCGGTGGACAAGACGGCCCGTCAGGTTTTGTAGAATTTAGATTTAGATTAAGATGAATAATATAAGGGATTCAGTAACTTTAGAGTAATGCTATCAATTTTTTAGATTTGTATTAATTTTTAAAATTGGAGCTAATTCCCTCTGTTGGGTGAACCCTGTACCTTCTGTCCTCTCTAGTGGGCTGAAGCAATCGGAAGCTGAGTCTTGCTTCATCAACATAGCACGGACCCTCGACTTCTATGGAGTGGAACTGCACGGCGGCCGGGTAGGTGCTCTCGGCACATTTTGCTTCAAAAGATTATTTTAATTTCTGAGAGTTTGAAAACACCTTCTTGAAATTTTTTCTTTTGCAAAAAAAAAACAACAAAACCCCCAAAAAACCCCAACACCTTTTTTTCAGATGTTTGGAAGTTTATAAAGTAATAATGAGTTTTGCTGCTTATTTCCTCAGTTGCTTGTTTCATATTTGCCTTTGAAGACTTTATTTGGGGGAGGGGGTGGTCAGAGGATTAGTAACAGGTAATTTTTGTATAGCCATTTTATATTATGGTTGAAGAAGGAAAAAACTCGATTTTCTAAGTAACACTTTAATGAACTAAGGTTTCTACTATTTAATCTTAGTGCTCCTCAATTTAGAGCTGATTACTCAAATATGATTGTTTTTTAAAAATTACCTTGATATGATTATGAAAATCAGTCTTTTAAATTGGTTGTGGCTTTTTCAATAAAATGGCCTAATAGCTGTTGTTCCCTGAGCAATTTCTGCCCGCCACATGGCAGCTTCCTTCCCATGAGGTATTATCGTTATTCCCATTTTACAGATGGAGAAACCGATACTCATGGGCTTTCAAAGGGACTTCCAGCCCCCAGGTGGCGGCTTCAGTGCATGGCCCCGGCACTGTCTGATTGAGATCTGACCGTTACTGTCTCTGCCTGTGTTTGTCCCACACCGTGTCCAAGAGCAAGCAGATATTGGTTGAACACCTAGTATGTACTGGCCATTGTGCCAGGTGCTCTCGTATGAGACCGCGAGGTCTTCTTTAAAGATTATAATAACCTTGTGAAGTTAGTATTCTATTTATCTCATTTTGCAGATGAGAAAACTGAGGCTCAGGGAAGTTGAGTAAATGACCAAAATTTATATAAAATTTTTGCAATTCATAGAAACACGTTCTTCAGTCTCAAAACTGTCACAGGCAGGTTACAACATAGGTAATAAAGTAGGAAAAAGACACTGGGTCTTACAAAATAATCACCTTTGGGACTTGACCATTAAGTCCCAGTTGCAAATTATATTTTGCCTCTCATGGAATGCTGTGGAGAACTGTCTTCAGTGGCGAAGTAGGCGTTATATCTGCCTGACTAGATCCATGTTCTCCCCGCCCCCAGCGCCCCACAAGGGTCCTGAGGCCAAATGATTACTTGTCTAGCTGACACCTCCAAGGTATCAGAGGCAGTTGGGTTACCCCCGGCTCTGCTGCATCAACCCAAACCCCCTAAATTCCAGAGACTTGATACCACAAACTTTCTCAGTAGTTCAGAGTCTGCAGCGGGTGCTGAGGACTCTCCAGGACAGCCCTCCTGCAGGTGTGACTCAGCAGTCTAAGCTGCTCCTGGCTTGTGGCTTCAGCATCTTAGCACACAGCCTCGTGCTTGGCTCAAGGGAAGAGGAGGCTGGAGGGCTGTGCACCAGCTCCTACACGATCTGGCTCAGAGAAGATGCACTATCACTTCTGACCTTAGCACACTGGCCAGAACTAGTCCTATGGCCCTGCCTTGGACAAGTGGAGCTGCGAGGTGTGGGGACGCGCGTGGGAATTAAGTGGTCAGTAACTGTCCGTGCTGCCAGGGGAAGTGCAGGTGGAGAGGCCACAGAACCAGGAGGCTTGAGACCCAGATCACTGCCCACCCAGGCCATTCATTTGTTTCCTTATTCTGCACTCAGTTTTGGTTTCATTTGCTACTTTGTCCCATCTGCGTAGTATTTTTCCCTATATTTTGATCCCAGGTGTCATGTTTAAATGCATCCCTAGTTTTCACCAAGCGAATTTGGTTTTGCTTACGCATGTGATTTCAGTTGGGGGCCTGATAGTGTTTACTCTCTGGATTCTTCAATGTATCGGCACTGTTTTCTTTGGCCAGTATCTCTAATTCCTCATGTTCACATTGTTTTTCAAAAGTGAGTTGTTGCAAGCCCTGTCCTACATTCCTTATATTCTCTGATTTCAGCCTGATAAAAGCCCCTGGAAGGGGGTTCAGTAATCCTTATTGCAGAAAAGGAAAAATTAAGGCTCAGGAGTCCAAAATAACACAGCCAACGGAGTCGAACTCTGCTCTTTCTTTGTAATTTCAAGTATCTGATTGGGTAAATAGGCATGTAGATGACTCAAGGGAAAGAACTGTTTTACTTAAAAATTTTATTTACTTACACTCACCTTGTTCCCAAACAGACTTAAACAGATTATAGTTGCTGCACCTTCCTTCTGTGTCTTTGTTGTCTACGGCAGTGCCTAGCCCATAGGTTCTTCGTAAATGTTGACTTTATTGGATTTATAAGCAATGTTTATATCTTCACTGGATTTAAAGCTAGCAGATGTATACTTCATGATAATAGCTGAAGCCCTTTCAGTGGTGGGATCTGAGGTTTCTCTAAAGCTGTGCAGGGTGCAAGGCCTTTCTGATTTTAATGTGATACCTAATACCAATTGTTGAAAATGTAAAATCGTATTTCGTTTCAGTGATTCTGCAGAATGAGTGGGCTTGCCTGGTAACTTTAGAAACTGGTAGAGCAGGTGTTACTGTCAGGCAGTGCGTGTTCACTTTAGAAGAATCTGGTGCCAAGTACCTAGATCTTAAGTATCTGTTGAGATGGGATTTTTGCCTGTTTACCGCAACATTCTCCCTTTGGAGCTTCTACATGTTGCTGGTTATGAAAGCGTGGGTGCACGAGTTACCAGAGGACACGAGCCAAACAGTGACATGCTGTGAATCTGAGATTTCCCTTTTGACAGGATCTGCACAATTTAGATTTAATGATTGGAATTGCTTCCGGGGGCATTGCTGTCTACCGAAAATATATTTGCACAAGTTTCTATCCTTGGTAAGTACAAACTTGTTCTAACTATGTCTGCATCATGCTTTAAAAATATGCTGAACAAAAGTAATGTCACCTCTAATTTTAAATGTAGGGATAGAGACGTTCTCCCAAGTGTTCACCCCTGACCTCTGGGTTGGGTCCAGATGCAGAACCTGGGAACGTTAGTTTGGTTTCCATCGGCATCCCCTCCCCACCACAGGCAGCCTGTGGCTTGGGATGCTCCGTGGAAATACGGATAAAATGGCACTAGGCGGGTTTTGGAGTTAAGGAATCCTAGGCAGCGCATTGGCCAGAATTCAGAGAACTTTCTCTGGGCAGGAACTATATTTTCAGTGTGGTTGCTTAGTTATTAATTGAACTTTTACCAAGGGTTCAGATTTGGTCTGAAAACTCAGGGGACCCAAGAATTGAAATCTCCCAAGACAAGTGCTTGGGAAAGGCAGCGACTTCATAGTAGAGGAGTTAGGGACACGGGCTCGGATCCCGGCTTTGAGCATTCCTTGTTAAGCTCTTAGGTGCCATCTCTGAGCCTCAGTTTCCGCGTGTGAAAACTGGGCATCATAAAATGTAATTTTCAGGACTGTTGCAGGGCTTATTGGAGGACTGCTTGGAAAACGTTTAGTAGGAGCCGTATATATAAAAAATGCTCAGTTAATGGTGGCTGTGATTGTGCTGCTATGCAAACAATTGAGAGGCTGCCGGGCACACAGCTGCTAAGTAACGCAGTTAAGCAGCCCAGCTGGGTTGTGGGTCGGGGCCTGGCTGCTCTGTCTGTCCTCTTTCTCCTGCTGCTCCACACTGCCCTCACCTGTCTTCCCCAGGTCCACACCAGCTCAGGCAGAGCTGCTGTGTCACAAAAGCAGCTGACAGCAAAGAGCACTCTGCCCATAGTTCTTGTTATTTAAAAGCTGCATCATAATCCAGGGGCCCTTATGTGACACTCGGCTTCAGTCAGCTGGTTGGTGTTTGGCCGAGGCAATGGGGCCACGGTCTTTTCCACAGTGAAGTAAACTCCGGTTGCCCCCATCGCGGGCTAGAGGATGCTCGTCGGGAGGCATCAGCTACGGCCCAGCCGATCCCTGATGAGCTCTCCTGTGTGCTTTTATTCTTCCCCCTTTTTGCAGGGTGAACATCCTAAAGATTTCTTTCAAACGGAAAAAGTTCTTTATACATCAGCGCCAAAAACAGGTGAGTTCTGTCTATGCTTGCTTTTGAGCCACATCAGCTCCTTCTGCGGGTGGAGGCCGCTTGCCACGCGCATAACAGGGAGGGCGTATGACAGAAAGAAGGCGGAACCCGGAGCCCGGAGGACCCAGCAGTTCTCTGTGTAACTCGCTCTGTTCGTCTGGTTGGAGAAATAACTTGCTTTGGAGTCAGACAATGGATTCAGGCCAGCTCCACCACTTACCAGCTGGGCAGGCCATCTCACCTGCCCTAGCCCGAGTTACCTCCATTACAGAACCGCAGAATGCCCGCCTCTCAGGGAATTGCGAGGATTAAATTGAAGTGCTGGTCAGAGTGCCTGGCACAGGAGAGTAGCAGTCAGTTCCTTCCCTTGATGTGTTTCAAATGCACGCTGGCCATTGCATGTGTCCCCTAAGAGGCTTCGGCTCTCCAGGTGACTCAGTCGGCTTATCCACAAGGAAGAACGATGTAGCAGTGGCGAAGCTGAGGCTTCCGCCGCTACAAAGTGGAGGGGCTGGAATTCAAATCAGGGCCACCTGTTCCTTCCACAGCGCTGCACTCTGTCTTGTTACGCTGCACACTTTTCACTTCCTGTCACCATGTCCATTTCCCAGTTTCAAAGATAATATGTACCTAACATGGCTCCCTACCACAGTGAACGGTTAGAAACGAGAACACCAAAGCGCAGAGGAAACTAGGACTAGATTCTGGGTCTCCTGACTCCCCCAGACTAAGATTTTAGGTGGCCCAGAATTGCACAGCATGGTGATTTAACAGGAAAACAGAAATCTGAAACTCAGGCAGACTGAAGGCAAAGCAAATAACTAAAGTGATTTTTCTGTATGAGTGCTAGATTTAGCTCTGCTTTGTGGACAGCAAAGAGAGAAATCCAAAGCGTTATATAATAATTCCTGTTGTCTGAGAGGTGAAAGATTATCTCTCCAGGGGAGAGGTTTCTCCAGAGCAAAATTTTCAAAGGAATGTATCAGACAACCCTTATCTGGTTGCTCCAAATATATCCAACCTAGAAATATAAGTACACTTGAAATGAAGTTGTTCATGAAGGACCACAGACACCGAGGAAGAGTAGACTCTGGTCACCTGTGCCACTTATAAGACAGCTAACGGAGCAGTTCTCGGACACTCCTGGAACCGGGGGCTGTGGCCCGAGGCCTCGTGGAGCCAGTTTTCTGCTGTCCGTTGCGCCCGCCCCAGCCGCCGCCGACGTGGTGTACAATGCTGAGACCTCACTTACTACACCTGCGCGGATGAAATCTCTACTGTTTTTCCTCCCAGGCTGAATCCAGGGATCATATTGTGGCCTTCAACATGTTAAATTACCGATCTTGCAAAAACTTGTGGAAATCCTGTGTCGAGCACCATACATTCTTTCAGGCAAAGAAGCTACTACCTCAGGAGAAGAATGCTCTGACTCAGTACTGGACGCTGGGCTCTAGGAACCCCAAAAAGTGAGTACACTTCGGTCTCCACACTAGACTAAGATGTAGATGTGTCCTGGGGCCCCGGGTCGTGAACGTCCTCGGTCAGGGGGAGAGACGCCGTCGCCCGGGGCCCCAGGCCCTGGAGCCGGAGCTGCTGCTGGCTCTGGGACCGCGGCGGAAGGACTCCCGGGGATAGCGGTGTCTCTTCCACACACACACAGATACCGGCTCATTTTCCCATTGTTCGTTTCTGCCTTCTCAACTCTGCTGTCCTCTGAGCTCCCAGGCAGCCGGAATTACAGATGTTCTCACACCCTGTCACAAGGAAGCCCGTGGCCGTGACGCAGGGTCACCGCGGTGCCTGGCATACGGGTTTCCCTGGCCTGTTGCCACTGAGACCGCCTCTCCCACGGTCGTTAATTCCCTGAGGGGCTCTGTAATAATGAACGAAGGAGCAGCGTTAAAGATTTTGGGAGTCAAGTAACTTATGTTATATAGAACAATCATGACATAACAGTACTGATTATAACTGATAATTATTTAGTACTTACCTTGTACCAGGCACATACTTAATTATATTTCATTCTTCGAACAATCCCATGTGTAGTATCTACAAGCATATTTAAAGTATTTAGTAAGTAGTACAGTAAGAGAAATTATACTATAAATTTTTACCTGTTTAATATAGATTAAAATTCATTCTCTAAATAAACTAAGTACGCAGTTTATGTTTTTGTGTATTTATTTGTACTAAGACTGGCTTCTAAGTACAGGATATAGCATAAATTGTTTATCAGTCACTCTTATAATTTCTAGATTGATTTTTGGTTTGAAAAAATTGTGTTTGTGATTTTTGCATTGTTGATGTGGCTATTACTAACTAAATAATGTTCCTGTGTGAGCCAGTATCTGATATGTGGGACTATATCAGACTATTCCAGTGACTTTACTGTTATGTTGATAATCATTAAGTATCTCTAGATTCAGTAAGTAGGAAATCCCTCTTAATGATAGTATTTATGGTGCTAAATGTTCTCTCAACTTCACATAAACCAGGAACAAAATATATTTTCAAAGGTTTTAGCTCCTGTAACACTGTCTAGCATTTTTATACATCCGATTGTTCTATTACTGGACAAGTCACAAACACAACTTATTGGAATGTAGTGTTTACTTCCACTGGGCCCGATCCTTCAGGCCGGCTGAGAAGTGGCATAGTGAGCAATGGAAAGCATGAATTCTAGTGCCAAGCACCCTGAGTTCAAATCCTGCCAGTGTCACTTCAGTTTTTCAATTTCCTTTGCTTCTTCAATTTCCTCATCTGTAAAATGCAACCCACATGGAATGGGGAGTGGGCGGGGAGATCTGGTTATCCATTGTGCATAAAAAAACTACCCTTATTTTGGTAACTTAAAGCAATGACCATTCTACTACATCTCAAGGTTTTGTGGGTCAGGAGTTTGGGAAGGCCTTTGTTCTGTGTAGTGTAGCCTGGAGCTTCTCAGAGACATGTAGCTGGTGGTCTGAGGGTCCAAGATGACTTCCCTCGCCTACCTGGGCCTTGATGAAACAATTGGAGGGCTGGACTCGCCTGGCCCCTCGCCCCCTCTCTGAGTTCCCAGGGCATCCTCATGTGGACTCCCCAGCAGGGTAGTTGCATTTCACACACAGAGGCTCAGGACTCCCAGAGTCTAAGACAGAGGGGGCAGATTGTCTGGAAGGCGAGGCCCGAAACTGGCACAGCTATTCTTGGTCACAGAAGTCACAAGCCAGCTCAGGTTTAGGAGTCAAAGACCGTGTAGCCATCTTTCATCTGTCACGGGAGGGGATGTCACCTGGGATGTTGGGGGTGGTTTAGGGGCAAAGGTCAGCAATTCTTGACTACAAATATCAGCTTCAGTGGGCTGGGAAATCTCAGTCCTCATTCTCTCCATCTTACAGAGGAGGAAGCTGAGTCTTAGATTCCGTGACTTGGTCAGCCCCTAGAGATGCATCAACACATTTGCACGTTAGGTCACCCTGAAAGGGTCCATGTAAAAGACTTGGCTTTGTGTTTTCCAAGCTTATGGGACAATGGAACAATCCCTCCCTGCCCCCACCCCCCCGGCAAAGAGTACCTATTAATAACCTATGACATATTCTTTAGGGAATGGCTACATTAAACCTTTGAATCGTCTAGCTTGCTTTCCTCCTCCTGATGCTGTGCTCTCAGTCAATGGTAATTTGGTTTCTGATGTAGATTCTCCTAGCAGTGCTGCTGTGAGCATTTTGCTGAGGGCGACAACAGTATTTCTTACTGTAAATTAGTGCATTGATATTCTAGGGGGCATTTTGCATTGTTTGTATCTTTTTGGTTTTTGTTTTTTTGTTGTTGTTGTTGATTTTAGACTGCAGCAACTGTGGAATGTTTTAATAAGATATTGAAATATCGTTAAAAATTTAGAAATCCCAGAACCAAGTTTCCCCTAAACTGGCTTCAAACTTCATCCTCTGAAATAATTCATTTTCTGAGGGGTCTAGTTAGCTAAGATTTAAATTCTTGATACAAATAAATTTCAAAAGTAGCCTTCAGGGTGGCCCAAAGAACAAGACCTGAAATTCTACTGTCTAAGCATGATCTCAGGTCTTCTCTCAAAAGAGTCACCAGTAGGGGACAGAGAGGGCCTCTGCCAATAAGATGACCAGAAGCAGCTAGAGAGACGGTTCACGTTTGTACTCACACCTGCATGAGTCGAGTGAGAACTCCTTGAAATTACTTGAACTGTTTTTCTGTGTCACCCTGAAATTCCTTCTCCTCTGGTAAGGCCTGGTTATCTTCTGGGAGCAACTTGGTTGCTTGCAGTAGTAAGGACAAGAAAATATCATCACCAGAAGAGAAGAAATAACATCAGGAAAAACCAGGACAGAAAAGAATCGCTTTTGTCCCATGCACCTCTTCTCCTCCTAACTTTTGCTGGTGTCCTTAAGGTCCGGGAGGGACTGTTTGTAGACTATTCCATTTATGTTGTTATTTCTTTCTTATCAAAAATGGCAGTGTAGAAGGTGAACCTACGTCTGGTTTTTCAGGTCTGTAAATAACCAGTATTGCAAAAAGGTGATTGGAGGGATGGTCTGGAACCCAGCCATGCGGAGATCCATATCCGTGGAGCATTTAGAAACCAAGAGCCTGCCTTCTCGGTCCCCTCCTATTACTCCCAACTGGTATGTCCTCCTTTTTTTTTTTTAAATTACCCCCCAGTAAACTCTTTATCTCTTTCAAAAATAAAAAACTCAGTAAATTCCTAAAATAGAGATGGCCTACCATCAGAGTTTACATGGGCAGGTTTGGCTCTTGAACTGTTTTCCTGCAATGCTCAAGTCTAGCCAAGCATTTTCCCTTATGTTCAATGCTGGGATGTTTGTTCTTTCATAAAAAAGTTACTTCGTCTAAATACATTTGAGAACTGCAGCCTAGTGAAACACCCCTCTTGCAATGATAGTGCGCATGAGCATATTAATGCTCTAACAAGTCCTGTAATAAAGAGCATGTTTAGTTTTATTTAATCTCATGTTTCCCATTAACATCACACAGAATAAGTTTTGTGGAAACTTGATAAAGGTGCATGTTGTAACTGATGTAACGATGTGTGATCCTCAGCAACAAGTAGCAAATGCCTGTGGCAGGGTAGCCTGTCAGCTTTTAAGGTGATGGACTTGGCTGAAAGGAAAGAAGTGGCAGTTTGGCAAATGGGAAGGGCACTGGGTTTGTAGCTGAAAAATCCGAACTCAGATTTTGGCTTTTCTGTTAATTAACAAGTTTCTTTACCTCTCTGGTCTCAGTCGCCCCAACTGCGAAAGAATTCTAAAAAAAAATCACCACAAATGAAATCATGTACAAGTGCTTTGTAAGCTATAAAAATAGGATGAGGTAGAATTATTATTATTGTTGTTATTTTATTATAATGTTCCCCCAAAGACACCAGGAGATTCTTGCGGATGCCTCCCAAACAACCCGGCATCAGCAGCAGAAGGGGAAACCAATCTGGAAACGTTGCCCCGGCTCCACGCTGGACTGCAAGTATGGCTCCCTGTCCATTTCATGAAGGACAGGTGAACCTGTGAACTCCCGAGCTGGGATCTGCTAGGGCTAAGGGAAATTCTCACAGGCCTCTGGGTAGGGACCCTCCACTGGGTAGGGGCCACATGCTCTGGGCAGGGATGACGATGGTATTTAATGTTAGCAATCATATCACAACTGAGAAGATTTGTTTCTTGGTTTCCAAGATATAGGCACCACATCCTTAAGTGGAAAATTTATGCTGTAAAGTAGCAGCTTCATTTGTCTGAAAGCCTCTTAGGCAGCAATGCCAGGGACAGCCAGAGCCCAGGACAGCATCCAGAACCGTGGGGTTTGACGTTGCCACACCCTTGGCCGGGAGCTCTTACTGCTATTTATAGGTCCTCTCCTGGGGATTTATGAGCCTTTCTTCCCTATTTTGGACACAGTGATATCGATTATCCAGGCCCAGGGGATTGCAAGTAGTGGGGGCCCTGACAGTCCTAAGGAGAAATGGCTAACAAAGAAGGGGAAAGGGGAAACACTGAGGGAAAATAGAACGTAGCTCAGCAGCCTGCAATCGCCCACTGCAAGAGCCAATGCCCAGGTGCTGCACCGGGTGTCCTGAGAACACTGCCTCCCCTGACTCCTTCTCAGGAGCAGGTAGGGAGTTACAGCTAAGGCCCGGAGAGGTGATGTGACTTACCTAAGGTCACACAGCTACTGCTGCTCTTGGAGGAAAAGGATGGTACTGTTCTGTCTGTCTAATATCACATGAGGGATGTATTTTTTTTTACAAAGCAAGCATTTCTTCTTGGATTAAGTGAAATTCGCATGAAGGGATGTAATTGAAATAAGGTTTGAGTTTTGCCAAAACTGTACCTTGACTTTTAAAACCCTTTATTTATTCTGTTGAAGTGAGTCAGAAAAATGATCTGATCAGGCCCCGATAGGGCCTGTTATTTATGCATTGAGAGCTTGACTTCTCCTTGGAGAATGACTCACCCAAAGTCAATATTCAGTGCCTTCCCAAATGGCATCGGCCAGTCTCCTCCTCCTATGGATAAAGCTGAGCCTGCTTGTCTAGGGGCTGCACCACTGGGCTGAGAGTTCGGGGATCCATGCGGCCTGTGGTTGATTCTGGGGTAGTAATGGATTAACTGGCTCTTAATTTCCAACAGCATCAGCCCAGGCATCCAGTCAGGGCACAAAGTTTGATCACTGGTGTTTGATTAAAAATTTTAAGTGGAATTTGCTTTCAGCGCTTCTCGCCCCTCTTCCCCACCCAGGCGAAGTCCTCGGCTCCGGCATGAAATCCGAAAGCCACGGCACTCTTCCGCGGACAACCTCGCCAACGAAATGACATACATTACCGAAACCGAGGATGTGTTTTATACCTACAAGGGCTCCCTCTCCCCAAAAGACAGCGATTCCGAGGTTTCTCAGAACCAAAGCCCACACCAAGAGTAAGAAATTGTGTTATTCTCTCTTTTTACCTGCTTGTTCTGGCTGTTGAGGCATTTGCTCAGGCCCAGGTGACTGGTTAAGAGGAGTGGATGGAGGGCTGGAGCCTGCAGCCAGCTCCCTAGGGTGCTTCCGCTGGGCTGAGGACAGGATCAGACTCTCCCTTCCCCGACGGGAAGACAAGACGGATGCCTGGGGTCTAAGGCTTGACTTCCAAGACCTCCTGCCTTCCCAGTATGTGTTATCTGTCTTGAATAGTCTCCTCACCATGAACAAAGCCCAGTTTAAGTCATTCTGTATTCCAGAGATATAGACAAATGTCAACCACAGTAGTATTTCTCTGGATTGTCAAAGTTTTACCACTCTTGGGTTCCAGATCACTGAAAATATGCTGCTCTCACCACCGTGGCTCAGTGGGTTGGGCATCATTCCACAAAGTAAAAGGTTGCTGGTTCGATTCCCAGTCAGGACATATACCTGGGATGCGGGCCAAGTCCCCAGTCGCAATGCATACTGGAAGGAGGCAGCCAATCAATGTTTCTCTCTCACATCTATGTTTCTTTCCCTTTCTTTCTCCCTCCCTTCCTCTCTCTCTAAATGAGTAAATATTAAAAAAAGAAATATGCCTATTTCTAGCTCTCCACAGAAAGCCTTCTCAGAACCACAGTATGCCCTCAGGGTTTTTGTTTTCATTTTGTCTTTAGTAAGTAGTTAGTATAAAGAAAAAACATGCAGCCCTGGCTGGTGTGGCTCAGTGGATGGAATGCTGGCCTGCAAACCAAAGGGTTGCCAGTTCGATTCCCAGTCAGGGCACATGCCTGGGTTGTGGGCCAGGTGCCCAGTAGGGGGCACACAAGAGGCAACCGCACATTGATGTTTCTGTCCCTTTCTCCCTGCCTTCCCCTCTCTAAAAATAAATATATCTTTTAAAAAATTATTTTAAAAAAAACATGCATACAACATCTCTGATTTTTTTGGTTAGATTTTTGTCAAGAACGGTTTGTGTTAAATTGTTTCATGCCCCCACTGTCTTTTTAAAAATTTACCAACTCTTCTCAAGGCCAGGAAAAAAGATCTTTCCTAAAATACTGGTTTGAGTCCTATTATTATACAATAAGATGTATCTAATACACTTGTTCCCTTTTTGACTTGATTACCAGGGAGCTCAGAGCTACATGTTATACTCAGTTGAATTGACTTCCCGTAGCCCAGATTTCTGATAGAGTCCCTACTGTTCCTTACCTTATTAATGGGTCTTAATTTTCTTCATTTTAATGAGTTCACAGTTCTACCATATCTGTACATTTTAGAGTAAGCTTATCAAATCATTTTTTGAAGTTGAAAAGATAATAGATTATAAGTAAATAGAATGACATTTAAGCTTAAGTGAGATAGGAGCAACTGTAGTCAGCCATAGTCATTGGTATCCATTCTGTGAAGTTCCATACTAAACCAAAAATATAAACATAATGCCTCCCCCAACAGTGTAGGATTAATAACGAGGCACTTGAGTTAATCTGTAAATTTTTACCATTCTAGCTACTGGCTTACAACAGTAAATGCAACCTGATTGTACTTTAGGCCTCACAGGTGAATTGCATATCTTGTTTCCCACATATGTGTGGTTGCTGCCTCTCAGCAGACAAGGTTTCCAGCTTATCTGAGTTCCTAACACGTCTAGTTAAATAATCCTTCTTGTCCTTATTTCCTTGTGACCTGAGCTTGGATGATGCTTTTGTTGAAATGATCGCTGTCTCTTGTTCCAGCTGTAGCCCTGATGAAGGCAGAGTGGAAGGGTGTGTGTGCCTTTGCGTGACCCTGGCTTTGCAAGGCTAGAAGGAACAAGGGCCGAGGGCAGGCGTGTGTATCTGGAACCAGTTTGAGTCCGCAGTGGGGTTCTGTCGCTTTGCTGAAAGGGGGAGGAGGGTTTCGGGAACCGACCAGGGGCTCTGGGAAGCCCAGTCACAGCCCCATGTCAGACCTTCCTGTTGTGGTTTGCAGGCTCCTCATGGAACCGGAGAATATCTGAACCTTCACTGGCTGGTACAGTAGCCACTAGTCGCATGCGGCTGTTCAGATTTAAATTATTTATAGTGAAATGAAATTTAAACTCAGTTCCTCAGTCACACAAGCCTCATGTCAAGTGCTCAGGGTGCGTGTGTAGGCAGTGGCTACCACATTGGACAGCAGAGCTGCAGTATATTTCCTTCATCACAGAAGGTGCTGTTGACAGCGCCCATCGGGGTCAGGTGGAGGAGAGCGGGATTCTGTGCAGTGCCGAGCGGATGTCTTAAGTCCTGCAGCAGACTCTGTGCAGCCTTTGCAGCTCAGTGAAGGAACGTCGAGAGGAGTTAGACAAGTCTTTGCTTCAGGGGCTCTGGGCCAGCTAGGCAGATGGCACGTGATCAACCTCCATGTTGCACTAGGCACTTTGGTAAAAGAGGAGAGTGTGGGCCATTGTCTGGAAGTTCTGAGGAGCCCAGTTCCATGCCCTACATCAGATTTTCCTGCTGTGGTCTGCCATCACACCACGGGGTGGAGAGCGTCTAGACCGTCAGCTGCTCAGGAGGAACCACTAGCCACATAGGGCGGTTTGAACTGAAGTTCATTCAAATTAAGGTTCAAACTTGCTTCCTCATGCTCTGTTGGATATCATGCATTCCTGGCCCTGCTCACCCCTATGCGTGGCGCTTCAGTTCTTTCTGAAACTCCTCCATGAGATCTTGTAAGATGTGTCACCCTGGGGCACTTTTTATTTTACAGCTCAATGTTAAAAGTAGCACAAAATGGTGACTCAAAGAGAGCCTTCCTTGTCAGGGCCTTGCCAGGTGCACTGACAATAGATGTCTCACAAGTCATGTTAGTGGCTGTGCTTTGCAAGCGGGGTGAACCTTTGAAAAACTGCAGTGCCTCCACCTCAGATAGGGGATCCCTTCTTGCTGACGCAAAGCCACCCTCTTCTGGGTCATCAGAGGCAGCTGGCCTCCCTGAGAATCGGGGATGGGAGCTCTCCATTGCCCGAGGCAAGAAGGAAAGGCTGATCTGTACTTGGTGAAAAAAAACTGTGTGGTTACTTCAGTGAGTATTTGCAAAATGTTTAAGAAATGTTTGACATGTTTTATACAGCAGATTTGCAGTAAGAGGAAAGCGGATTCTGTCAGTGAAATCTGATGAATTATATCACAGACAGCAACGGGGGTTCCTTTTAGAAGGAAGAATCAAATATAATGTTCTGTACCCATTTCAGCCAGAAGAGGAAAAAGGGAAAAAAGAGCAGTTAGACACTAGCTCTTACCCCAAAGCGGCTCAGCTCAGGGTCTGTGAACCATATCTGGGTGGACGAGTCATGAGTCACCCACCGGTTTGTCCCATGTTCATAGCGGCACAGCAAAGTTTGGGATTATGCAGGGTCTGGCAGAGGTAAGGCCTGCTTGAGTGTTGTTGGTAGGATGCATGAATGTCTTGCACAAGATGGACAGCAATTAGAACGTTTCACCTAAAAGTGTCATATGGTGTGCTTGAGTGTAATATTGTTATGTTACAGAATTACATGCTTATGATTGTGTAATAAAAGGGGGCGTTATTTGTGCCGGACCCTGTAGCTCTGAATCCTTGACAGTTTGCTTTGCCCAGGTGGGCTCTACTCGCTACTCAGAAGGTTCCCTTTCCGTCTCCCTTTCCTCGTTTCAGAGCGCAGGCCAAAATCTGCAGAAAAGGAAGATTCCTTCATGACAGAAAAACCTAAACCAACCAGCACACCCCAGAAAAATGGGAGGGGAAGTAGCCTAAAGGAAAAATGACTTGGCAGAACGGACAGGCAGATTAGGGTTGTATGTGAAGAACTTTGTTGTTGTTTTGTCACAGTTGTTTTGACGGGTCACCAGAGGAGACACCGCTCACTCAGAGGGAGGCGGGCTTCGTGTTGTCATCATGCCTGTGCCCTTTGCCTGTCAGTTCCTTTAGAGCTGCCCTGTTCCATTGGACATGGGGCAACTGGCACTTTTTATTCCAGAACTTCTCTGCACACAATGAGAATGCCCTTCATGCTACTACCCTTAGAAATGGTTACAATGATAGATTTTATGTGTGAATTTTACCACTGTTAAAATTTTTTTTTAATTTGCTTTTATAATGGCAGGCAGAAAAAAAAAATTTAAACAGTTTCTGTGCATTGGAAGGGACTTTGGGAATACCCTCTTCCGCCCCTCGGCCATGCAGGAATTTTTAGGCCCCGTCACCTGGTCACCCCGCCCCCAGGTGGCGGGAGCTCTGCTTCAGTGTGGCGGCCTGTTCCGCGGTCGCGCAGCTTAGTTGTCCAAACTGTGTGGGAAGCCTCCTCCTTGGCCGTGACTGGGCATGAGCCCTGCCGTCCCCGGGTCCTTGTCTCGAGCTCCTAGGACACCACAGAGGGGGTCTGTTCCCAGTTCTGCCTGACAGCCCACCCGCTGTCCTTTAAATTAAACAACCGGCCGCTCTCTACGGCCACTCTTCCCCCTCCTAGTCACCATTCTCCACGTGCATATTGGTTTTACTAGAGGGTGGCACCCGGATTTCAACGCGGTGGCAGGGTCTGTATGCCGTCTACGTGTCTCCCGCAGAGACCAGCCAGCAACAGCGTTTCATTAAGTGTTCTGCGCTCCTTTCCCCTGCACCCTGCCTGCCTTTCACTTGGTTTGGGCCGCTTGGGTGGAGATGTGCGACGGATAGCTTGCACCCAGCAGGCCCCGGCTCCACGCCCCCTCGTCACGTCCCACCGCAGCTCCTGCTACATCTTGGTGCGTGGGGCTGCATTGCAGGTCTCCCCAGCTGCACCTACTGGAACCTTCCGTCACCCTTGACTCCTTTTCTTCCCTTCCTCACCTTGTTGATTCTTACTCCCTGACACCTCTTGAATTAGACCCTCCCACATCCCCGCTGCACAGCGCTGTTTATCCACCATCCTCTCGGCCGGGACTGTTGCGATAGTGTCTCCCTGTCCTCCCGTTCGTAGACTCTCCTCCTTCCAAACCATCCTCATCAAGGCTAACAGGCTTCTCTTTCTGAAATCCACACCCAAGTGTGTCACTTCCCTGCTCAAATACTTTTTCTGTGCTTTTTCAAAGTTTCCTGCCTCTGCATATATTGCTGCTTTGGCTTTTTAAATTTTTTTTGTTATTTTTATATTTGTATTTTGCCTAAAATACCTTCTTCCCTCTTTACTACCTGTTCAAACTCCCTACCAAGTCATCTTTCCACCTCCTCTGTGAAGCCCCTCCTTGCCCCCCACGGAACCCCTGGCATCTGAGCATCTCCGTTAGAGCAAGGCATCGTTATTGTTTGTGTATCTTCTCTTAAACTAGACAGTGAGCTGTTGGAGGGCCAGTGTCCTATTCACCTCTCCTTCCAGCACATAACAGATATTCAGTGACTCATTGGTTGGAGGGACAGACAGACAGTTACGTGAAGACAGATGGGGCCCTCGGATAAAGTACAAATAAGCTCCCAGGGTTTCACAGTGGGATGCCCCCTGCCTCTTCCACGTCAGGTACCCATATCACATGAGCAGCATCACATGGTATCTGTGCGTACCCCAAGGAATCAAACAGATTACTTTGCTGAGTTTTGGTTGCCTGTCATCTGTGAGCACGGCCATGTGGGTAGGTGCTGCTGCAGGTCGTATGTTGCTGAGAAATTCTCACCACAGAACTGAAGCAAGAAGAGACTGCAATTTAACCAGTGCTTTCTTGCCATTGAGGTGTCTTAATATCTGAGGGGTCAGAGAGGGGTAACGAGAGGATAAATGCGTAAGCCATGATTCCATTAGTGAAGAAATACAGAGCTCAGAAAGCAACATACCCGAACCACATATTCCTGCAGCCACTTCAGCAACTGCTTGAGTTAAGTTTTGGTCTTGGCCCTTGGCATTTACTGCAAAGATAAGAGCATCATGTGAAGAATGTCTCCGTATCCTAAGAACCCATACTTAAGACACTTCTTTCTGTTACTCAGTGAGCCTTATGTGAGGATCCGTGTGAAACGTTTCTCCAGGAAGTTTATTCCGAAGAAATGTAGCATTCTGAGGGAGCCGGCACCCCGCCTTCCGGCCCCTGACCGCCGCAGTTGCGGCAGCGGCCCAGGGATGCCAGTCTCCCCTGAGAGCTGGTCGGGAATGCAGACTCCCGGGCCCTCTGCTGGCCGGCGAGTCAGAGCCTGCGTTCCAGCGAGGTCCTCGTCCTATTCTCAGGCGCTCTGGTCCTAACATCTGGTCTCAGCATCTGCTGAGAACAGTTGAAGCACCTTCTCTTCTCACCTGTGCGTCCAGGTAACCCAGTGAATGCCATGCTCTTTTAGAGGAACTCCACACATCCCAGGGACGCGGGAAGGTGTGTTTTCTTCATTCGCTCAGCATCTTTACTGAGTGCTCACTGTGTGCCTGGCTGAGCATTAAGTGTCCTAGGAGAGGAACAGAGAGAGGACTGGGGGCTCTCCGACCTTGGGAAGTGCAGAGGCTCCAGAGAGAAATGGGACTGGAAATGGCCTCTGTTCTGTCACATGGCCCTGTTAGAGCCGTGGACCCGCCTCCGCCAGGGGGCACACAGCTTCCCTGCCTTTAACAGGTTCGACAGAGGTCCTTGTAATTGTTCCATCAGGGGTAATGGAAGCATCACACAGGAATCTCTTTTTTCAGGGGCAGTCCTGCCATTACTTTCTTTCACATTGCTTTCCTTCAGAGGAAACAATTCTGTCACGGCTTTTGTTTCTGAAACCTGTCACATTTACAGTTCTGAAGCATGTTTCCTGAGAGCAAACACCTATTTGTCTGCCTGTCAGCCCTTCTCTGCACCTTTTCCCAGGGAGCCGGGGGAGGGGGTGGTCGCTTCCTCCCTGGCTGCTCTCTGCATCCCAGGACTGCAGTGACAGGTCCCCTTCCGTCCAGTCGGCAGTGACAGTCCGCCTTCCTTGTGCCTCTTCCTCCTAGGCCCCTCCCTGCCTCAGGGACAAACCCCTTGCTTCTGCCCCCTCCTCCCCAGCCACGGTGCTGTCTTCCTTCTTCCCTCACCCCACTCCTTCCTCCAGGGACCCCAGCTCCACCCCCAGTGCCCCTCATCCCTCCCTCCCCACCCACCCGGCTCTCTCTCATTAGCACCTCGTCCTGCCCTAAGGAGAGAGAAAGCCCACTTGGTTTGGCAGCTTCATTCCTGGCATCATGCTGTGTCCAGCTGCCACCTTCTCACTGCATCTCATCATTCGATGTCCTCCTCACCATCTGTCTGTCCATTCTCCACACAGAGGAGAATGTTCCTGCAGCCTACAGGGAACGTCTGTGCACAGTGGATCAGCCAAAAAGATACGGTCATATGTTTAATAAATTACTGTCAACAAGTAACTTCCCTGACCCTACTTAGAAAAGAGTACTGGGCACATAGTGACTTTGAATATATTCTCACTAGTTCTGTGGGCTGTTTTAGATAGATTGTTGTGTTCTATACTGAAAATAAAAATACGTTAAAACCTTGAATTATGTAATTCACACATTAAAAATTTAGAAAAATAATGACTATAAAACACATTAGGATTTTACTGAAATTTGTTTTCCTCTGCTTTGCCGCCTTGCTCTTCTGCTCCTTTGTTCGCATGCTTTTCACCATTTCCATCGCTGTCACCTTCCGGAGGCTTCCAAACTTTTGAAGCGTGTAGGCTGCTGATACTTGTAACTTCTTCGTATTAAATGTTCAGGTCCGCCCCAAAACTGGACACAGCATTTTCTAAACCCTGTTTGGCTTGATTCTGCCACTAGGTGGTGCTCTTGTAAACATTAAAATTTAGCAAAGTTGCCCTACTTGGGGGAATTTTTTTTTTTTAGCTTTTAAAATTTTGAATTACAGTCTCATTAATTTTTAGTCTGAAAACTTACCACTAGCAGACAGCTTCAATTCCAAAATATCCTGTCTCTGAAATGCCTTCCCATCCATAACACCCTTCCCTCAACTTGCAAACCATAAGGCCAAACTTCTCTTGCATATATCTGTATTCCTACACTGGTCTGAACTGAATCTTTATATTCAAATAAATGGGAATTCTGACTCATTCTGTGTGAATATGATGCAGACTTTACATTTAAAGTAAGCTCATTTCAACTTTCTAGGAAACAGAGAAGCCCTAACTTAATGAAAAATTCATGAACAAGGGCTTGAAATAAAGCTTTAGTAAGAGGCAGCAGCAGCCGTCTTTTGTCTCTTTCCCTGAATGTCTTCATCTTACTCACCTCTCCCATCACTTAACCTTGTACGTAGAACATGAGAAAAGTCCCATATTCTGTAGGCTTTTCAAGGCACCTTTTGCCAGGCCTGTGGGCTTCTGGAGGGGGTCCGGCGTGGGTGTGTGTGACGTAGAGAAGTTGGGTGTCCCCTGCAGTGCCGGCTGAGAGGGTCCCTCCCTGCGCGGTTAGAGAGGCAAGGAGGGGAGGATGTGGGGACTATCTTAGGGGCAGACTCGGTGTGGCCTGGAGAGGAAAGAGACGCTTGGGGGACTCCTGTCGGTTAAGTGCGGGGCAAGCTGTGGGGCCTTGGGCAAGTCACCCAGCGTCCGTCGACGAGTTTCTTCATCTGTGAAAGGGGCGTTGGACCAGATGACCATAGTTCAGTTTTCACAGCCTGTAATTCTCTAAGACAGTGCCGTCCAACAGAACTTCCTGCAATGAAGGAAGTGTTTTATAACCATCCCACACAGGCGCCACTAGCCACACGTGGCTGTTGGTCATTTCTGAAATGGACTGGTACCACTCAAGAACTTTCTAATCTTTAGATTTAAACAAATGGACTGGTGGCTCACTACATTGGACAGTGCAGCTCTAAGATCCTGAAGAACCCATATTAGAGAAAAATAAGGCGTACGTCCTCAGCATGGGCAGTGAATGGATGTCACAGGCAAATGATGCAAACTAGGGTTAATATAAATCGCCCTGAATGTGCAGCATTAGTTCCATTTCCTTTGGATAGCGAAGAGTTCTGTGAAGCAGAGCTGTTGCCAGGATTTAGATGGAAGGAAAAAGCTTGCAGAAGGGATGGAGACGTGCCCCTGAGTGAGCTTCAGTGACCAGACACCTTCTAATGAGGCTGGGAAGGGAACCAAGCGCTCAGCAGCTCCTGGGTCTGCCCTTCCTTCTGCCCCTTCCCCCCCAGAACTAATGGCGGTGGCATTTAGGCCAGATGGGGACAGGGTGGCCCGTGGACTTGGGTGTACCAGAGCCCCGAGGTTGACCTTTGGAGTTCTCCTGAAGTTCCAAGGGCTTGTGACACCCATGGGACACCAGGCCTCAACAGTCAGTAATGTTTGCTCTGATAAACTATTAATCCAGTTATTAAAATATCTCTTCCTTCCCCACGATGAAGGAGTGTGTCCGAGAACAATCCAGCACAAAGCTGCCTGACCCGGACGTCATCCAGTTCTGTGTCTCCGTCCTCCAACGCTCCAGGCTCCTGCTCGCCCGATGGCGTGGATCAGCAGTTCTTAGAGGACTTCAACAGGGTGACCAAAGGGGGCTCCACCGAGGACTCCAGCCAGTACTACTGTGACAAGGTGAGGGAGCTCAGAGCCTGGCGGGGTGCTTAGGTAGCCAGGCGACCTACCCAGGCTTCCTGGTGCAGAGGCACCTCGTTTAAGTAGTTAGGACTAAAAGAAAATGTATTCTCATCAGCCCCTGGAGAGGGAAGTTACATAACTGACCACTCTCCAACATTTTCCAGAACGATAATGGGGATGGCTACTTAGTCTTGATCCGTATCACGCCAGATGAAGATGGGAAGTTTGGATTTAATCTAAAGGTATGTTGTATGTATTTATAAGGAGTTTTCTGCTCTGAAGCTGTCTGTGGATGACTTTCCCGTTTCCACTGGACGCATGCCACACACCTGAGCTTCGTAGCGAAACTGGCTCAGCCCCCGGAACTGGGAGTGTTTTCATGTGGCCATACCAGCTGCTTCGTACCAAGAGCCTGTTTTGTGCTTGGTGTTTGCTCTGCGCTTGCTTATTTGCATCACCTTACTGAGTTCTAAGCAGTGAAATTAGCATTTTTAACCCCATTTTATAGGTGCATACTAAGCTCAGAGCGATGAGGGCCCACAGTTGGCAAGCAGATACGCCTTTCGAAGAAGAGTTTCGGAGAGAGCCTCTCAGCATTGCTAAGCCAATGAGAGAGAGCAGCAGTTTGCATTGCAGGGCCTTCGCCCTCCTTTCTCAGCCTCCAGGCAGGGTGTGCAAATTACGGCCTAGGGGCCGACCCAGCTATTTTTGCAAATAAAGTTTTATTGGAACATAGCTACACCCATTCATTGACAAACGGTTTATGACTCCTTGGGCACTAAGGTGGCAGAGTGGAACATTTGCAACAGAGTAGAGCCCTCTGTCCCAAAAAGCCAAAAATACGCACCCTCTAGTCCTTCACAGGAAAGGTTTCTCAGTCCCTGTGCTAGAGCTGAGTGAGGGCAGGTGGTCTTTGCTGCACGCCCAGAGCTGCTGCTGTGCACTTTTTTCCCTGTGCCCCAGGAGCCCAGCTGATGACCTACCTGCTCTCCAGGGTCAAAGCCCTCACAGCACATGACCTTGCCTGTGGCTTTTGTCTCCTCCACTGTCCAGCAGCACTTAGAGGCTGTGCCTTGGGGGTCCTTTTCCTGGAGCGGATGGCATTTTTTTAAAATGAGCTTGCTTCTGCTGAGTGCAGCTTAAACTCATGGCATGTGGGGATGGCAGTAGGAGCTTGGAGCAGCCCTCTGATGAGCCCACTAGACCCAGAGGGCCCAGGAGCCTTGTAACTCCGAGGGGTGCCTTCCTGGGGTTAGAACAGATGAAGTGAAGTCGTACCCCTCCCTGTGCCAGAGACAGCTGCATGTCTTCATTGCTGTGAGCTACTCAAGTGGTGATTTATTTTTTTTTAATCTCACATATTCACAGGGAGGAGTAGATCAAAAGATGCCTCTCGTGGTATCGAGGATAAACCCAGAGTCGCCTGTAAGTAACCACGTTTGCTTCCCCCGAAACTGAACAGATTTCTATTTCTGTGTCCTGTTTCTGTCCATCCAGTAGCACAGAGTGTGTGTACATGCGTGCACATGGATTCGGGGAGGCGGGGGGGAGAACAGAGTCCATGTTTTCCGGAACCTCGCTGCTCAGTGTTGTGCCCCCAGCTGCAGCTCCCGCGGCACCGGGGAGCTCATTAGAAATGCAGAATCTCGGGCCCCACCCCAGACCTCCTGAACCAGAATCTGCATTTTTAACAAGCTCCCCAGGTGATTGGTGTGCACATTAAAATTTAGAAGTGCTGCTTAAGCCCTGGCTGGTGTGGCTCAGTGGATTGAGCACCAGCCTGCGAACCAAAGGGTCACCAGTTCGATTCCCAGTCAGGGCACAGGCCTGGGTTGCGGGCCAGGTCCCCAGTGGGGGATGCGCGAGAGGCAACCGCACATTGATGTTTCCCTCCCTCTCTTTCTCCCTCCCTTCCCCGTTCTCTAAAAATAAATAAATAAAGTCTTAAAAAAAAATAGTGCTACTCAAGAGAAGGAAACTGAGGCAGAACAGTTTGCTGCTCTCCTCGCGCTGAGTAGGCACGTGGACCCTGTGTCCCCTCCTACCGCCCCGCCTGCAGCCCTCTGTCGAAGCCTCCTCCACTGTGCTTTTTGAAAGCAATGAGCACCAAAGGGTCACTGTGCCTCCTAAGGAGGTACCAGTTTAGGGCTTTGCTCTTTAAGTGGCCCTTAAGCTGGCAGTTGACTTTTTCTTTCTGCTTGTGGCCCCTTTCCAATAAGGGGGCTTTCATTTCACCCTGTTCTGTTTCTGTGCGCTGTTTCTCTCCATAATGGTTTCTGCCTTTGTTGTGCTTGCAAAGCCTTCCTCCCTTGCAAGGTGGATAAATACTCTCCTTTAGCTGACACCCTCTCATTGTGGGGCTCCACTTTCTAACAGCCCATCCAGAAAACAAAAGATCAGAAGCTTCCTAGTCATTGGGTGACATTAATAAGGGAAGATTGGCTGTCGTAGAGAAATGGCTCCTGTGATTTCCTTAGCCTTATTCGGCAATGTTTCATAACTCACCTTCTGAGCAGCACTTTGTTAGAATCCTACAACCAGCCGCCATGTCATTATAGCAGAGAATGGAAAAACAATGGCGATCATACCGGAGGGAGACCAGGAGAACTCGATCACGGTCTCAGGTGCCTGGGCTCAGAGAGCACCAGCGCTCTCCCCTGGAGGGCTGCGCTATGGTAACCGACGAAACCGCTTCTCCCTCCGTGCAGGCGGACACCTGCATTCCTAAGCTGAACGAAGGGGATCAAATCGTGTTAATCAACGGCCGGGACATCTCAGAACACACCCATGACCAAGTGGTGATGTTCATCAAAGCCAGCCGGGAGTCCCACACCAGGGAGCTGGCCCTGGTGATCCGGAGGAAAGGTAAGGCCCCGCGGGAGGAGACACAGGGGCGCCGCGACAGCCAGGCGGGGCCCGCGTTTGAAAAACCAAGAACGTCCACATAACAACCTGGCTTCTCACTTGAAAAATTTGAAGTTCTGCCCACCGAGCGCACAGCCCCTCACAGCCAATCCTCGGGAGGTAGGCAGCACCCATCACTCTCTGAAGGTACAGGGCGTGACCCCCAAGTCCCCCCAGACCCAGCTCGCCCACTGCAAGCCCCTATCTCTCTTAGCTGCCTGGCCCTGCAGGCGTTTGCATTTCCAACCCTTTCTGGAAGGATCAGGTTATATTTTATTCATGCGCTTTTGGCTTTGTTGGAGAGGCAGTGAGAGGAGGGGGCAGGGGGCCTGGCTGCCTCCCAGGGGGTTTCACTCCGCCTCCTGCCGGTGGACCTTGAGCAAGTCTCTGGCTCAGTTTGTATTTTGGTTTCCTCTAATGTACGGCGAGGATAACAACAGTCCCCACCTCACGGGGTCCTGATGAAGATGAAATGATCCTTATACTGGAAAGCACCTAGAATACTGCCTGGGACATGGTAGGCGTTTGAAGGATGGCTTCTGTTGAACACCGTCACTATTGTTGTTGTAAAACAATAAGCCGGGTCCTTGAATGCCTCTGCCCAGCTTTAAAACACTGAAGGAAAATGCAGTCAGTGTGTGACTGCAAGCCCTGACCTTACCACTCTATCTGGCCTTCACAGGTGAATGCACAGCTTTCCACCCCGCCCCCAGCCCCCCTTCACACACGCACACCTGCCTCTTTCTGTTCACACTAAAACCTACAGTCTACAACTATCCGGTGTCAACAATCCTCCCCACTCCTCGTGAGGCTTTACTGATCCTCCAGTCCCCTGCCGGGATCCCCCCTTCCCCTGCCCCGCCCCCACCAAATCCCAGCACCCTGCTCAGCACTCAGTAGGTATTCAGTTGTGGTAAAGGCTGATGTCTGTGGAACGCCAGTCAAGTGCCCTTGCACTGTGCTAATTACTTTAATAATTATCCTCTTCGGTTCTCATAACACTCTTGTAATATTAGTGTTATTATCCTCAAGTGAGGAGGTGGGGAAACGAAGTCACAGACGGGTTCAGTAAGCTGCCCTGCAGCTGCTGTGTGGCTGGTAAGGCCGCAGGACTATAGGGAATGGAGGAGTCCAGCGACTGGGAGCCGGTCCCGGGCCGCACCACGCGCCTGTGGTGCGCAGCCCCCCGGGAGCCCACGGGAGAGCACTCGGCCTGTCTGAGGTGGCAAAAGGGATGTCCGTAGACTATTGAAGCCACAGGGTCAGTGCCACTGCCCTTCTGTAACTGTAAGGATAATAAGTTTACTTTTTAAATAAACATTTAACTAAAAAATAGGAGCTGATTGAAAGAAAAATAAGTAAACAGCATAGGGAGTAGCTGATATGACAGGAATCACAAAAATAGCAAAAGAGCTGAACTTCTCTGATCAGAGGGGAGAATGTGGCCTTCAGAGTCAGGCCGGCGTGGACCAAATTCCCGTGTCCCACACCCTGACAACTTTGCACAACTTCTTTGCCCTGAGAGTCAGTCTCTGCATCTGTGTAATGAGAATAATGACTCTCGTTCAGCATTGTGAGGATTCAGTCCACCTCTGGAGAAATGTCCACGTTGTTGCTTTCCTCTCCTTTCCTGTTCTCGTGAAGACAGTAGGAGCCAGTGAAGGCTTCTGAGTGGGGGGGCGGCGCCCCCCTCTGGGGGACCCTAGTGTTTCCAGTTTGGGAGATTGGAGAAGAAAGTAACAGTGGATAGAAAGGGGCACGGGAGGCTGGGGAGAAGTGCTGTGCGGTGGCGGGGAAGCGGGGCTCCGAGGTTATTTTTATTCACATGAAGTCTGACGTGAATAGGGGTTTGTACTGAGAGGAAGGGCTGAAGCACCGAAGAAACGTTAGGACTACAGATGTTTACTTGGGAGCCCCCCACCTAAGAGACGGCCCTGAGTGAGAGCTCGACCGAGTGCTGGGGGGCCGGCATGGGCAGCATGCCGGACCTCACTCCAGGGACCAGGAAAGGCCCACTCTGAGGGAGCAGGTGAGAGGGATCCGAGAAAGGGGTGAGGGCATGGGGTGCAGGAACCAGGTCAGAGAGAGCAAAGAGCGAAGATACGTTTTCTTTCAGAACGTCCTTTCCCTTACTTTTTACCTTCGGCAAAAGCCTCTGAGTGCTAAACACCATCACCAACTAACCAGAATTGTATGTCATTTTGTGTAATCAACACACATTGTATCATTCAACGAGAAGTAGTATCTTTGGTGAACATGATTACTGTGTGCTTAATCACTTAATAAGATGTTTTAAACCACCCGCATTCAGGTGTCACAAGTGTAATTTGGGGGGAGGAAACCGATCACCAGAGCTTTGCCACACAGCCAGACGCACCCTTTCTTGCTCACTACAGCCGTCCACGCCTTTGCTGATATCAAATCTGAAGATGAACTGAACCAGCTTTTCCCAGAGGCCATTTTCCCCGTGTGTCCAGAGGGTGCGGACACATTGGAGGGCTCCATGGAACAGCTCAGGAAGGGCCTTGAAAGTGGGACGGTGCTGATCCAGTTCGAGGTAAGAGAGCCCCAGGGCCCACCCGTCTCCTGGGCCCCGGGGCCTCGGTGGGCTGCTCAGGTGCGCCAGATCAGCCCTGGCGTGGGGGCCTGCGCTCCTCGCGGGGCCCTCAGGAGCCCTGAGGAGCTCTGGATGCGCTCTGAGCATCGGCGCGGGGGGGCGGGCCGGAAGGCAGGGGACGCCGACCCTGGCCCATCCCTGCACTCTGCCTCACCCTCTTACTCTGGTAACGTTCGGTAGTCATGGAGAAACGCATCAGAAATCAGGGAGGAGGGACCCTGGAGCGCTGTAGCTGCCAACACAAAAGCTCCAGACGCTCAGCAGTCGAGTAGTGGAGAGGCAGCGTGGGTGAGCACCCACAGGATGATGAAGGAGCCCTGTCCCTGACCCCACCAGGCATGCTGTGTCATTTGCAGCAGTTAGTGTCATCCCATGAGGGTATAGTGACTTCCCTTCTCAAGTCCCCCCCAGAACCATGTGAACACAAATAATAACCAAAGCAGACACTGTCTTCCTTCCCCGGGAGGGACCCCAATCACAGGATGGCAACTGTTGACAAAAAGCACACACAGACTTGACAAGACAAAGCGGAACCAAAGAAGGCTCAGTTTTTCAGTCAGTTTTACTGATCTGATCACTAACAGAATGAAAATAGAATGTGTTTAATCTCCAAATTTTTTTCAAGGTAGGAGAAAGCAGAGCAGTTCTTGCAATAAGAGATAAAGGAGCACAAAGAAGCATGGAACAGGTTGATAAAAGAAAACAGATCACAATTAACACCAACATACACAGTTTAGATTCATAAATTAGGAAGGATGGTTTCAGATCAAGTTCAAGAGCGTAAATCAGCAATCCACTGTTTGTTTATATAAAGGAAAAAGTCACAGAAGGAAAACTAGGCAGTCTATCAAGTGTACGTGACTGCATAGTCATTCAGAAAAGTATGAGAAGTATGAATATTAAACAGGAAGGAATGCAAAGCATAGAGCCTTGAGTGAAAAAGGGTTTATTTTATAATGGTGTAAGGAATAGGATGTAAACAGACTACATTATTAGAGCAATGTGTGTTGAACAACAGTGGAAAGTTAAAACTCACAAGTGAAAGGTGAAGATAATTGGTTTCACTCCCCAGAAAATCAATAGGAAATTTTAAACTTCACAGCCATGGCAGATAATAGAAAAAGTAGGTTCATATCTTGTGGAAATGAAATCAGGATTAAAGAGTGGGAATAATATAATTACTTAGGTAGAATTGGATAGACATATACTAAATTCCTATAAAAAGAGAAAGCCCTTCTTTCTAGTAACCTGCAGGAGGCTATGTAGGCTTAGGATTTTAAAAGAAGAAAATATAGCCGTTGTGTTTTCTGGCCTTGCGTTGCGAAAAGTTCAGAACTGAAATATGCATTTTAAACACTAAAACGGCATAGTTTTAAACACTCTCCAAGACAATCGAAACAGGTACAGAGTATATTCATTTTCTTCTGTTTTTGGTGTTAGAAGGAATGTCGAAGGGGGAAGGCACTGTGCAGTCGTTCCTTTATTCAGGGGCTGTGTAATAGGTGTTCATCGGGTGCCACACCCTGAATCTGGAACACAGTGAAGGAGGGAGAAGGTGGACTTTTGGCTCCAAGAAATTGACAGTCTAATTTTGGGATATTTGAGAGGATGTATCATGAATCCCAGAAAAAGCTGAAGACCAAGATAGGGCAAGTTTCCATTACACGGAATGTCTGTTCTGTAGAAGCTGGAGGTGGGAGGGTCCCAGGAGGCAGTCTGGGGTGAGATGTTCCATTACTAGAGGATGGATGGGACTAAGTGTGGAGGGGGCAGAGGGTATTCTAGGAAGGTCATGACCTAAATGCAGACTATGCTCATAAGGCGTCAGGTAGCAAAGGGAAACGGGGCTACCTGTGGTGAGGAGTACAGCAAGGGGTCCTGGGAGCTGTCTCCAGGTGATGGAAGTCCTCCAGCCCAGAGGGAACTGGCTGTCTTTGAACACACTGTCCACAAGGAGGCGCTGTGAGCCCTCAGTGAGGAATAAGATCGAGCTTGGCCTTAACCTGTGCCCCAGAAAATCCCCTGCACTCAGGATTTCCATATGGGAATCCCACATAAGGTTTCCTTGAACAACACTCACTGGATTTCTTTAAGAAGTTTAAAAATACTTTAAAGAGAAGTACTCACCTGTCCCCCATGTTTTTGAGTAGTATTTCTCAAAGGGTGACACTCAACCGTATGGATATTACCGGAAGAGCTTGTTACACTGGGCCCAGACCGCAGCTCTGGAATCAGCCACGCTAGGAGGGGCCTAGGTGTTCATGCTCTTCACCAGGTCACCGGCAGGTTTTGATGCCCCAGCTGACCCAGAGGATAAGGGGGGCGGGGGCGGGGGGGGGCGGGGTAAAGATCAGACTGGAATCATTCCACTGCTGCTTATCCCAAGTCCTATAATTATTTAGAGCTTATAGTTGGACTATAGCATAAGAAATGGACAACATAGAGATTTTAGGGTTAAATTTCACTTGGGTACACATTTACTTTTTTTTCATTTAGTCAATGTATTTCCTAGAAATTAAGTAGGGCAACCCTCTTTATAAGTAACAGTTGCAGAGTTGCAGAATGCAGAGCAGATAACAGCAGAGCTGCTCCGTGATGGAGCAGGTAGGGTACATGGAGCCCTGCCTCGGTTTCCCCACACTGTCCCAAGGAACCCTAGACTATGAAACAATTTTAACAACCACTTACAGACAGGAGAAGAATGTCCTACACAACTGCTAGAGGAGAATTCCAAAGGAAGCCAGATCAAAGCAGAAACCAAGACAAAGGGAAACCTTTAATGAGCACTTCCTTTGTGCCAAAGGCTTTGTGTGCATCACCTCACAGAAGCCCATTGTACAGATGCAGGGCCAGAGCCAGGGAGGTGACCGTACAGTAAATGGCACGGCCTCCTTGGGACCCAGGCAGGCCAACTCCAGAGCTTGCTCCCTTAACAAGTCTCTAACATTGGCAAACAATAAAATGTGTGTATATGTGAGAATTGCCATTAGACTAGGACAACATGAGAGCTAGAAAAGATCTGAGAGACTATGTAGCCATATGGCGCCAAACAGACTTTAAATCCCGGCTCTACCACTCGCTTCCTACATGGCCTCAGGCTTGTCCCTGAACCTCTGCGGCCTCTTCCTCATCGGTCAGCTGGGCGTCTCATGGGTTGGTTGTACAGGTGAGATGAGATAAATACTTAACACATTGTCTGGCACGTGGGAAGAGCACAATAAAGGGCAACAACTATCATTATTTATAAACAGAGGCTCCAAGAGTCTAAAGAACAGGCCCAGTCGCCAGCAGAAAGTGGGCACGTTGCGTTGGGGTTGGAACCCAGGGGCTCGCCGAGGTTTCGGTTCTCCACGCTCCTCCAGTGCTGTCGGCAGGTGGGCGACTTGGCCGATGGGGCTGTGCCCTGCGCAGGGGCAGGAAGAGGTGGCTGGTTCCGAGCAGGGCCCGCACCCCGCACCCCACCCACTGCACCACACGGAGGGCCTGCCCTGGGGTAGTTGGGTCACGGTGGACCTCCTCCCGCGGTGACAAGCTGGTTTGCAGCACAGCTCGCTTTGAAGCTCATTTTCATTCAGGGGATTTCCCTGTTCCTCCCGTGGCTTTCAATAAACAATTACGAATGTGTTCTAGAAAGCATTTGGCCCCAGCTGTAACAAAATCACACTTAATAATTAGCATTTCTGTAGCACTTGGAATCTGCCAAGCGTGTTTCACATCTGTTGTCTCGGTTGATTGTCACAACAGTTCTGTGGAAACGAGAATAACGGCCAGGCTTATCAGGGTCACTCCTTCACAGATGGGGAAAATGAGGCTCAGAGGCGAAGGGGCCCGCCCGGGCCACACTGGAGTGGGGGGAGCGCGGTTTAGAATCTGGGAGTAGAAATCTAATCCATTGTCAGAACTCACTGTTGCCGGGCAGGACCAGCTCTCACCTGACCTCCAGCAGAGGCCTCCGCTCCGACAGCCACTGTGTTTACCTGCTCGGTGTGAGCGGTGCGGCAGCATTTGTGACTGGCCTCAGACTGCTTGGATGCTCTGTTCCGCCACGGCAGGGCGTTCCTCTGGTCTCAGGTGAAGGAAAAGATCCGGGGTTCGCACAGCTGCAAGTTCATTATCACCTCCAGGACACTCTCTCCCTTTAAGGAACTCATCCTTTCAGTCCCAACTTCATTCCTTCCTGAGAATGACTTGTGGCTCCATCCATCCTTTCTCTGCGTTGCACATTCTATTTAAGCCAGAAGGAGGCTCTTGCTCAGCACACGCCTCCCTGGGTAAAAGCTAAGTGATGGTGCTGACTTGTCATCTAGGCACCAGCTTCCCGGCAAGGACCCTGTGCCCATCCTCATCTGAGGACCAGGTGACTTGCAGCTTCCCTGCCCAATTAAGGCCTCTTTGGAGACTTGTGGGATGTGGCTGATAGAAAATGAGGGACATCTCTGCTCCCTTCCCGGCTGAGGAGTTAGAGCAGGGGCGGCACGACTCCACCCACCAGAGGTCAGGCCAGGCCCAGACGGCCCTGCCTTCCCCCTCCGCGTCTTCCCCTCTCACCCAGACCCGAGCCGTCTCCTTCTCACCTTTTTCCTTAACTCACTCCTACATCACCCATTATAGGAAACATCCGTCTGTGTCAAAGCAGGTGACTCACTGGCTCCTCTGATCATTATGAAAGTTGGTTTGGAAGGACAGAGGTAGTTGAAGCCTTAATGAGGGGTTTAAATCGACACATGTAGACATTAGTTAAGGCAATTGTACCTTTGCAATTAGAACTCATACCTATAAAAAAAGCCATTTAAAAAATATTCCAAAATGTTTTTTCTTTTTTCTTTTTCTTTTTTAAAGAAACTAAAGTGTTATATAATGTGTGTGGATTACAGGGAGCAAACTGTGAGGGCTTTACATTGCAGGTGCCGCCCCAGGTTGTCATTGTTTATCTGTGAAAGGGACCCTGCAAGACGACCTTTGTGTGCCAGCAATGGCAGCCACGTCTAGGACCGTGCACTTAAAGCGGTACTATTGAAGGTCCCAAAATTACTAGCGGCAATGTCAGTTCATTTCAGCAAACCTTTATGGGAAGGTAGGGAGAGGCTCCAAGTCCCCTCTACCCAGGCTGTCCCCTCTAGGGGAGGGGAAGTCCCCAGTGTGGAGAGCTGCTTGTGGGTAGTGAATTACAGTGTCTGCAAATGGCACTTGGGGCCTTCATGAAAAATGAGTTGTCCTTTGCTTAATTACATGACTCCATGCCATGTCTTGTCATGTTTTAATCAAGTTAAGTGGTTTCCACCCTTTGTTTAAAGCAGCCAAGTATCATTATTCCTTAATGCTATGAATTTTCATTAGCACCTACTATGTGCCGGGCACAGTGCTGGCCTTGGGTTTATGGTGGTGATCAAAACAAGATGCCTGCCCTCGTGGAGACTATAGCCCTTGATCCGAGAAGCAGACTATAAATGGGTGTTTTAAAAGTCTTTGCCCTACGGTAGGCTCTGGGTCATTGCTGAGGGCAGGAAAGGGAATCCATTTCTACTGTTTGCTCTCTCTCCATCCCCATTGTCCCTTCGAGTCCCTCCCCCTCTTTATTTCTTTCTTTTCCCTCTTTCTGCCTCCTCCTCGGGTTCTCAGCCTCCAAGAATCCCAGTGGGAAGTCACCGTCATCTCAGCGTACGGCTGACGTAGTGCTGGCTTCCGCTCTGCGGGCCCCGGATGGGGGCCGGTTGGGTGTGCCGAGCCCTCATCCAAGGGACGGGGCTAGATTTCACATCTTTGCTTGGGCCAGGAGTCTGAGGAGATCAGAATCATCTCCTGATGCCCCCTCTCTCATATTACACGACGTTTAGGAAAAAAAAAACAACCCCCAAAACAGCTGTGCCGTCCTGCCCATCCCGCCTGGGCCGCATGCGCCACTCCAGCTCCCGGCAGTTTCCTGTCTTCGGAGGCCAGAGATGGTGACACAGACACCCATCACAGCTTTTAAATAATGTACCTTAGTGTCACCGCTCTGAACTGCACTCTGATGAGAACAAAACCTTTTCAGACATAAAAATTAATAGTTCTTAATGAAACTAAGTGGTCTTCCAGCCCCTGTGGCTGTGCCTCCGTCTCCAGCCTTCCGATGGCTCTCGTCCTCGGGCAGAGTGTACGGGGCACCTACTCTGCCTGCCTCACATTCATCCTGGGATTAAGCGAAGAAAACTGTGTTTTTCCAATGAGTAGTTCTGCCTTGCCTCGGGTTCTGACTACTGTAATAGCCTTTGACTCATTTCCCTCCATCCCTGACCCTTCCAGAAAGACATATCTGTGTTTCTGACACGTCGCTTTGCACTCGGGACCCCTGCCCCAGGGCATCGTTTTCATATACAGCCTGGCCAGCGGGGGTCTACAGAAGCATCGACAAAGTAAAGGCGCTTGAAAACTAGCTCTTAACTCCTTCAGGACAGAAGTGTGCAGATAGGACTGAAGCAGTTCAGTGGAAATGAGATTCAGTGCTAGCTTTAAGGCAGACATCACTGTGAGTGTATTTGCAGAACATCTAAAGGCCCCCCAAAATCTTCGCCCAGTTTTATTCACCTAGCTTTTCGTAAAATTGTTTTATTTTTCAATTTTTTTAAAGATTTTATTTTTAGAGCGGGGGAAGGTAGGGAGAGAGGAAGAGGAACATCCACGTGCAAGAGATGCGTCGATCAATTGCCTCTCATGTGCCCCCACCTGAGGACCTGGCCTGCAACCCAGGCACATGCCCTGGTGGGGAATCAAACCGATGACCTTTTGGTTCACAGGCGGGCACTCAAAATCCACTGAGCCACACCAGCCAGGGCTATTTTTCAATTTTATATATAGATTTTTCTGTAGCTCTTTCTCTCAGTTTAATCATTCAAATGTAAAAAATAATTCGCCTTGTAATAATTCAACTAATTCAGAAATAGCCAAAGTAAAATTAATAGTCTTCTCCCCCTATTTCTATTAGCTTCTTTCTCTGTTACAATTTACAAATAATTCGATAGGTATCCTTCCATACTTGTTCCAATGCCCATGCAAACATATTTTATACATGTATATTTATATAACTGAGCACACATTTATATTATACACACTATTTATATACCAGTATGGGGTCACTAATGTATGTATTATTCTGTAATTTGAATTTTTTACTTAAAAATGGATGCATGGAGATCCTTCCAAATGTATGCTTTCAGTCTTTTTTTATTACTTGCATATAATTTTGTGGTATGACTGTACCATAGTGTAAGTCAATGCTCCTCTCTATTGGGGACTATTCACATTGTTCTGCTAATAAAAAGTTTGCTACAGATAAATTTCTTTGATATATATCTTTATGCATTTCCATCAGATGAAGCCCAGGGTGTGCACATGTAAAAAGTTTTTTAACACTGCTATAGTAATTTTTTATTTTTAGTATTCTACAATCTTATCAACAGATCATTATACTCCTGAGATATTTATTTATATACTTACTGTAATTAAAGCCTTTTGCTAGATTAAAGCCTTTTCTGCTAGACCATCTCAAGTTGATTACATTTACATATTTGTTATTTGAAAAAAAATTCTTTTTACCTCCAGTTTAGCTTTACTGATTATATTTGCTTAATTAGATTTCACTTCTGTGCAGCTAGTCAGAACAGTAGTGTTATTTAGGGGAATTTGATTCCTATAATCTCCTCCTTTCAGAATCAAACCAAAATTTCCAATAAATCCTGATTTCGTTTCTAGAATGAGCCCAGAGAGTCCATTAGATTTGCAGATAGTTAAGAAGTTGTCCAGTGGCTACTTGATTATTATGAACTGAAATGATAAAGATCAGTAACTGAGCTCGTGGGAGAGATGGGATACGAAACATTTGGTAAACGTATAAGACATGACACAATTATCATTACCCAAAATCTCTATGCTAATTCTCTCCTGGTGTTTTCTTTGCAACTTGTTTGTTTAATAATAATTTTTTAAAAACTAATAAGACAAAAACCAACAGAGCCCAGTTTACAAAAAAAATAAAATTTGAAGAAACATAAAGGGCAAAATAATGTTCAGCTTCCCTGTTCAAATTGCAAACACATTTTTAGTTGATGATATTGGCCACAATCTGGTAAACTAACCATTCTCATATGCCCCTTTAGGGCAGCTTCGTTGTATTTATCAAAGTCCTTCAAAATATGCTTTGATGCAATAATTCTGTTTTGGGGAATTTATAAGAGTAAAAAATATGGAAAACAGCCTAATCAAAAAAATAGGATAAAAGTTCAAATAAATTATGAGAAACTGTACATTATTGATAGAGTAAACATCATGGATATAGAGAATACTTAGACTATTTAACAACACAGGGAACTAGACACTATATAATGGCAGGCTTCAAAATTATACTAGTATTTCCCAGAACACTTCTTATGAGATGAGAGATTCTCCATGGCCACATTAGCTTGAGAAATGCTTAGCTAATCCTAACTGAATAAGCTTAGGCACTGCAGGACTTGTCTTGGAGGATGGTAGTACATAAGATGGGTATAATATTTCCCAAACTTCTTTAACCTTGAAACTTTTTTTAAGGAGTCCCTATTAGCTTCTTTTGGAATACTTGGGTTCCTTAGAACATAGTATGGAATATACTATAGTATGGCACACACTGTACTATGGATAATACATAGTTCAGTCTACAGTTTTTGTTTTTAAAAACCTATGTATTACATGTCTGCATATATGCAGAAAAATACAAACTGGAGAAAATATATGAAAAGGGCCATCGTGGGGTTATGAAATTACTGGTAATTTCCTTTTTACACTAGTCTGAATTTCCCCAATTTTCTGAGGGAAAAAACCCCACTGCTTCCAACATTGAAAAGATTCGTGTTGTTTTTTAAATTCCCATAAAGTTAATAAAAACCACCAGTGAGTAGCGTTTCATTTTTGAGTTCAAAGTGAGAGAAACAGTTGCGTAGAAAAGAAAACTGGAAGGGAGGGGAGGAAACGGGGAGGGAGGGACGTGTCTGTGGCCTTGGTGGTGGCGGTTTCCCTGGCGGCGCTGCTTGCTCATCCCCAAGCTCGTTGAGTTTTGTACAGTCAGTATGGGCCACTTTTTATGTCCATCATATCAATAAAGCGGTCTGAAGAAAAAAAAGCTCAAGCACTGAAGTTGGATCTGAGTTCAGCCTCTGGTTTGTGATCTAAGCATTTAATCTCTGCCTCTTCACTTGCAAAATAAGGATACTATTAATATCTCTCACAGAGCTATTGTCAAAATCACATCAGGTGCTGTGCAAGTGTGCTAATATGTGCTTGTAGACAGGCAGAGACTGTTTCAGTTGAATTTTTTGCTGGCAATTGCATGCACAGGGGAATACCTCTTTATATGAAGTTTACTGTATGGGAATAAATGTTTTTACTATGGAAATATACTTGTGAAATAATGAATGAAATGCTCGTTTTAAGCAAAAAAAAAAATACATGGTTCACTTCACTGAATTGGAGGGAAATGATTTTAGACTAATGTAAATGATTTCCATTTACTTTTGAGTCATAATTTTTTTTCTTTACTTGCTTTTAGCATTTGTCAAATAATTGTCATAAAGATGAGGTTTTACTTACTGTGATCCATTATGTGTGATTCAGACAAAAAAGACTTTTTTCCCCTCGAAGATCCGCATGCTAAAAAAAAATAACTGAAAAACTTAGCTTCGCATGGGATTGTAGAATTTCTTATTGGGAAGATTTTCCTTTTAATATATAACACAAAATCACTTTGAAATGTTAATATTTTGGTGCCATGAATGATAAACTTTTCCTGTTAAAGTATGTTTTCACACTCCCTTCATAGCTGATCTTTCTGCAAAGACCTTTTACTTCTCCATTTGTCATATAGCAACTCTACAGAAAGAAGCCCGGTTTGGCCATCACGTTTGCAAAGCTGCCTCAGAATTTGGACAAAAACCGCTATAAAGATGTGTTGCCTTGTGAGTATCCGGCATGAATGCCTCCTCCCCCCTCACACACTGAGATAATGTTTCCCTTTTTAAAACAGATTGTCTGGTATTCTGGAACGACTTTCAGTGTGTCTGTAAACACCACCGTCTTTATTGCAGCCACCGCAGACTCAGAACAGTTGGGGAATAGTGTTTATGCTCATGAGGCGAGAGCTGCAGATGGGGCCGGGAACTGAACGCTTGTTTACTTGGTATGATAAAAATAACGCTCGGAATAATCGGAAAATTTTTCTTCTCCCCGACAGATGACACCACCCGGGTATTATTGCAGGGAAATGAAGATTATATTAATGCAAGTTACGTGAACGTAAGTGTGGACTCTGGGTAATAGGAAAGAGCACATTAATCATTGTAACAAGCATGTCGTGGGCATGTGTGGTGCTTTGCAGTCGACAGAGTGCTTTCCTGTTTGCTCCCTTATTTCAGCGCAGCAGCCATTGAGGGAAGGCAAGAATAGTCTCATTTTACAGAGGACAAAACTGAGGTTCAGAGAGAGTAAATAGTTTGAAAAGTCACAAAGCCAAAGGAAGGTGAGACCAAAACTCAGATTCTATGTCTCTGACTCCATCGTCCACATGGCTCCTATCCTCCCCTGCTGGCATTCAGGTGTTTTGGTTTGGATTTGGTATTTTTGCCAGTGCCATGTTTGTAACTTTGTTTCCCCATGTGTTATTAACTGTATCTCCCATCTAAAATAAGAAAAATAAAAACACCTCTGTGCATATAACCCAGAAAGAAAAGGTAAAACATTTCATAAGTGGGAAAAGCATTCGTTTCACTCTGAAAATACATCTTGGGCAGCTTAGTGGACCTCTCTGAACCTCAGTTTCTTCATCTATTCCAAAGCACACGTTTTTTTATCAAGGGACAGATAGTAAATATTTTGGTCTTTGTAAGCCAAGAGGCAAAATTGAGGACATTACTTAAGTACTTACACAACCATTTAATCTGCAACTATGTAAAAATGTAAAATACCACTCTAAGTGTGTAACAGATTTGGTCCTCAGGCCATAGGTTGCCAACTTGTGATCTAAATGAACAGATTTCTCAAATTAAGTTCTCAATTTATAGAAAAATATCAAGAACTTCCCTAATAAAAAAGGGTCTGATCAGTGAGCCCACTGACTCCATAATGTCTGTGGGCTCCATGGACTCACTGACCTTCACTTTGAGATTCCTGATGGCTTAGGGTCATCAGAAAGGGTGGGGACAACTTGACTAGGGGTGGTGAACACACAATGTATGGATGATGTATTATAGAATTGCATGCCTGAAACCTATACAATTGTATTAGCCAGCATCACCCCAATAAATTCAAATAAAAAATTAAAAAGAAAAAAAATGGTGGGGGCAGTAAGACCACACAGCCCCGATCTCTTTGAGTGATGGGGGTGGGGGTGGTGAGCCCTGAGCCCAGGGCTGGGGAAGCAAACCGAAGCATGAATTAGGTGCCTCCGTTTCCCTTCCCACTTAAGAATGACTGAATTGCGCTCGGCGGGTTCTGAGTGTTCTCTCATAGAAGAGGAACGCAGAGCAGGATGGGAAAAAGACACGGAATAGCTGAAAGATTTTAACATTCATCAGCTCAGGTGGTAACTAGGAGCTGATGGATGCGTTCATTAACTTGATTGTGGTAATCATTTCACAATGTATATGTGTACGAAACCATCATGTTACTCATCTTAAATATATACACTTGTATTTGTAAAGCAAGGGGCAGGAGTGAGGGGAAATTGATCACATCATGACACAAGCATTGGCAGCCATTCAGAGAACGAAGTGCAACAGTGGGTGGTGGGATCAGCCTGTGTAGTTTAGGACTTTGGGGAGCTTTAGTTTATTTTTTTTCACATTCAATATTAGTTTCAGGCATACAACATAGTAGTTAAGACAATCATAGACTTTGTAAAGTGTTCCCCTGATATTTCCAGCAGTACCTGCCCGCCACCATACATAGTTACTGCAATATTATTGACTGTATCCCCTGTGCTGTGCTTTACATCCTCGTGACCCCTCTGTGACCCCAGTCTGTATCCCCCTTCCCATCTTTCACCCAGTCCTCCACCCCCCGTTCCCATCTGGTGGCCGTCAGTCTGAAAATACAGACACCCAGCATCGAGTGTATTTTAGATAGAGCAGTGAAGGTTATTTAAATCCTTCTGATACTTTGTAGGTACATTTCTAATTATTGCCTACCAGGTAGTACAGTTTTATCTTAAATATCTAATGCTAGCACTTTTGTCAAATATCTTTCAAGGATTTTTAAAAATAGCTTTTTTAAGAATTCTTCTTACTGGCCGTGAATTGATAGAGACATTATCCTGGTGTGATGTCAGCTACCAGCTAGAAGGGTTTAAGATCCAGCTCCCTGTCCACCTTGTGTCAGTGACAGATTCTAATGCTTAACAATCTCTTGCCAGATGGAAATTCCTGCTGCTAACCTTGTGAACAAGTACATTGCCACTCAGGGACCCCTGCCACATACCTGTGCACAGTTCTGGCAAGTTGTCTGGGATCAGAAGTTATCACTCATCGTCATGTTGACGACTCTCACGGAGCGAGGGCGGGTAAGTGGCTTGATTACCAATTCAAATATGTGTGTGTCACACTGTGTTCTGTGGAACATGAATCTCGGAGCTGAAAAAGGGTCTTAAACATCGCCCAGTCTGGCCTCTGCAGGACCCGTAAGCTTTCTGTAAGGAGCTCCTGAGGGACTTCTCTGATGATGGAGAGCTCAGCACTCGGTCTACCAACACCCTGGCCTTCCCCAAGCCAGAGAGTGACTGGACAGCCCCTCCCGCTCCTGGTTCCTATCCATTGTTAGCAGCCCCCCTCCCTCACCTCACCTGACGTGCCCAGAACCCCTGCATGGCCGTGGCCTCACCCACCCAGCGCAAGTGCTGGTCCTGAGGAGAGCAGTGTGGGTGCCAGGTCCACAGTGTGGGTGCCAGGTCCATAGTGTGGGTGCCAGGTCCATAGTGTGCCAAAATGTAGGAGAAATGAGAGCCTCTATCTACCTCTGCTTGTGTTGCAGCAAAACCCATTGCAAAAGTGGGCAAGAGGGGCTTAGTTAGGAGAGCGGTGGGCACCATACTGTGCTTAGCAGGGCATGCCATGCATTTTCCACAGGAACAGACGACTGATTATATAACAGAAGTCAGCATGCCAGGGATACCTGTATCATGAGTACTCTGCCTCAAGCCTGCATCTGGATAGCGTCATTATGAAACATTTATTCAGTAACACATTCCAAAATCAAATATAAATTAATTTTGAGCCACCTGCTTTGAACGATCCTCACGCCACTTCCTCCTAGGCCTTTCCTCAGTATCCAGCTCAGAATGCCAAACTGATCCACGCTGAAAGTCAATACACAGGATTGGGATGGAGAGTGTATTTGAGGAGACCAGTCTGCCCTCTTACCCGAAAGAGCAGAATAACTCCTGCTAAAGTATAGAGCCCCATAGGCTCCCAAGGGCCTTAGCATGTGGTGGCTCAGGCAGAGCGCCCTGCCCCTGGTAAAACACTCAAGTGGGTGTTCAGCTCCAATATTTTAAAAATTCCTCCTCACAACGAGCTGAAATCCATGTTGCTTTGAACCTTACCCCACCTGCTCTGCTCACCTGGAGGACCCAGAACGCGCCCTCCCTCCTCCTGTGCAGTGCTCTTTCAGGAATAAGAAAATAATCTTAGACCAGTGAAAGGTTACAGGGTCAGCGTCCATTAGCCTTGCATCAGTGGACGTTTGCTGGTCTTTGTCTCAGTGTTGCTATGGAGCCAGTTTCCCCATTTGGTGCTCATGCCCTGGACCCTGGAAACCTCCATGCAGCACTCTGGCGAGGCTCAGCAACGGACCATCCGAGTTCTAAACGTGCCTCCCCTTGAGCAAGCTGCCTAACCTCTCTGACCGTCAGCCTCCCTGAGCGGGAAACAGAGATGATAATAGTGCTCACTGTGGAAGGTTCGTGAAGACTGAGACAATATATAAGAAGCTGAGAGAACTGCATGTCACAAATGCCCAGCAAAAGTATTGGCGGTGTGTGCATGTGTGTGCGACCGTCGTTGTCATTATCATCATCCCTGGTAGGATGGAGCCATCCGATCTGGCCTTCAGAGTGCTCTTTGGGGCTCTCCTTCTGTCATTCTTTGTGTTGGCTCTCACTCTTAGCTTCTTGTCACAGTCTTGATTAGAGTCCCTTCTCTTCACGTAAATCCCTGTTAAAAGCTGTGGAAGCCCTCAAGAGGCTGTAGAGAGCTGTGAGTCAGCGGCGCGGAGGGCGCTCTTCGAGGCGCCATTGCTCCATCCTCCCCACGGCCCGTAACTGCCGGAGAGTTGGCAGAGATCACAAGGCGATGGGTCCACGGCACCCCCCGAGCTTGTCTGGAAGTCTCGTTTTTGTCTCTTTTTAATGTTTGCTTATGTTTTGTTTTATGTGATTTTTTTCCGATCTTGTTTTGATTAGGACGTGAAGTTCCAGGGACATATTTTTGTCTGGAGCACGTGCAGCCATCGTGTTCTATGGCGTGTGGGGTAGGAAGGCAGACTCAGGGCCATGCGTCCTGAATTCAAACCTCAGCTCCACTTCCTCCTCCCTGTGTGAGTGAGGAAAGCTGCAAAACCTCCATGTAACATGGAACAGTGATTCCACCCAGCTTGTGGAATTGTGGGGGAGCTGAATGAGTTAATACAGCTAGCCTTCTTGAGAGAGTGCTTGGTATACAATAAATATCACAGAAATGTTAGCATCGGTAGTATTTGGAGTACCACCTTAACAGTTACTGCTGGGACTAGACTACATATATTTTATTGTAGTATTAGTTTTCTTTAAATTGACTCACTTTTTTTTTTTTTTTTTTTTGCTTTAATAACTTTCCTTTGGAAGATAGATTGTTTTTTAATTTTTTTATTTAAGTCTAGTTGGTCTACAGTCTCATATGGGTTATTACTAGTTTCAGGTATACAATATAGTAATTTGACATTTTTAAACCTTTATAACATGATCACCCCACTCATTCTAGTAATTATCTGTCACCATGTAAACTTACCACAATAGTATTGACTATATTTCCCTTCGCAAAAAAGATACGTCAGTATCACTAGCCATAAGTAAAAGGTATGTCTAAAAATACAAAGATCACGCAACAGTGCTATTAAGTCCTAAGTAGATACTCTTGCCTTGCGGGCTCTGCACCTGAGGCAGCTTGTTTGCTCCCTCATGCACACGCATCTCTCCCTCCCTCCTTCTTTAAAAAAGAGGTCAAGTTTTAAGGAGGTAATGTTAAAGCCACCCCCGGACCTGAGCTGAGACTCTCCATGGCACACGTGAAAAAAGTCATCCCGCCATGTGGCTCTGGGGTGTTGAGCGCAGATCGGGTCCCCTCCTGATGGACCACCAGGCATCCCGTTCTTTGCAGGCCCTGATCCGGGGCCACTCTGGTATTTCATAGATGACAGACGTCAAGTTTATTGCCTTGTCCTTTCCCAGGTCTATCAGTCTCCCCACTGAAACGCTCTGCTGTATTTGCCTGCCTGTTGCGTTACTTCTGGGTGGCTAGATGCTCCAGGTTTTCTCGGCAGCTGTCCATGGAGGTGCCACTCTCCTATCTCATGAGGCCTTTCAGTTCATGATGCAGTTTCACAGAGCCAACACCCGAGCCCCTGCAGAGCGCTGGGCGCCATCTCAGCTGTGGCGGCCTTCTCTTTCCCTTTTGAAGTTGGCCTTCCCTTCCTGGCTGTAAGGCCATCCTCCGCAGAGAAAGCGGGAGCTCCGGCAGGCATGGCCAGCCGCAGACATCTGCCCCGGATCACACTCCCTCCTCCTCTCCCCTGTTCTGCCTGTTCCAGCTCAGCAGAAAAGGCCCTTTCTTCCATCCAGGAGGCCTCACTTCCTCCCGCAGCTCTCGCAGGTCCTGTCCCTCCTGCTCTGTCCTGATTACATCCCTGCCCCCCCCCCCCTTTTTGTCAGTGGCCATTCTGAACCTGAGCTCCTCTGGTCTCCTAGTGAGCCAGCAGGTTTCTTTGTTTCCCAGCCCTTTCTAACTGAAGCCATTCCGGCCGCTTCTCCCATGGGTCATAACATTCCCTTCCCAGTCTCCGGCCCTGGGACCGTACCGGTCGTGTTTATCGATTGTTAGAAACCTGTTCCTGTAAAACGAGGATGCGTGTTTCCTCCGTCTCCCATTACAAGCTCTCAGATGATCGGAGCCCTTCTCCCTGAGGTCCCTCATCGGGTCCTCGCCAGCACCCAGCGGTTGGTTCTTCCTGGTGTCAGGAGTCGGTCGCTGCAGGACAGGTGACATTTTCGGCAAGTCCCATTTTTCTCCACATTATGCAGTTAGCAGCGTGGAGCTCCCCCGCAGGCATGCGGCTGGCCGGGGCCCCCATCGCGTCCGCCCGTATGGAGGGCCCCTCCAAAGCCGGGCTTCCCACCATGGTCTGGGAGATGCTCCCACTGCAGGCTTGTTGTGACTTCTCCCTTTTTTCTTTTCTACCCCAAATGTTTTTTTTATCATGTTCTTCCTTCAGGTTCATGATTTCCTCATAAAGGAAGTAGAACTGTAGAGTATAGTTTTTCAACTGAAAAAGTCATTTTTCCCTCACCTTCCATCAAGGATATTTCTTACAGGGGGAAAATGATTTTTTTACATCTATATGTATCATCTGATACCAATTGATTCCATCTCTGAGCTTCAGTGTACTCATATGCAAAATAGAGCCAGTAATAGGGTTGTTTTGAGCTCTGGCTGGTGTGGCTCATGGGTTGAGCGCCAGCCTGCGAACCGAAAGGTCCTGGTTTGATTCCTGGTCAGGGCACAGGCCTGGGCTGTGGGCCAGCTCCCTGGTTGGGGCATGCGAGAGGCAGCCGGTGTTTCTGGCACACATCTGCGTTTCTCTTCCTCTCTTTCTCCCTCCCTTCCCCTCTCTCTAAAAACAACTAAATAAAATCTTTTTAAAAATGTCCTTAAAAAGCACTGTTTAGTGGTTACGTATACTGCCCAAAACATAGTAGGCTTAAGCATCATCCCTCCCCACAGCAACTGCATTAATGTGGAAACTGCAAGGCAAAGAAGTGAAGTTAACTCGGTCATAATCCCACAGTTAGTTACTGGAACTTGTCAACCAGGATTGAAGCCCAGGATTTCCACAGACTTCTCCCTCTTCCTATTACACCCCCAGTGCTTTCAGATGCAAATAGACCTAAGATCTAATTTTGATGCAAGTGGTAAAAGGAAAGGCCAGTTCTGGTCAGATTCACTGGGAGTCTCTAGAAACAGACACGTTTGTGGCTCTGCCTTGCGTGGGCCGATCAGTTCAAAAGACAGCTTCCCATCAGCTCTCCTGTGGGCAGGACCCTTGGGAGCCTGCAGCAGAGCCCTACACCCACCTTGCCAAAGAGGAGGCGTATGTAGGTGATGGGTGTTGGCTCGCCCTTGGGCTCTGCACACAGAAGCCCCTTCGTGTCTAAGCAAAGCCAGGAGATGGCTGCTGACCAAATACCCAGGCTTCGTACCCAGGTTTACAGGTAAACTCTTTGCTCTGACTTTCCAGCAGCGTGCTTTAATTTCAAATTATTAAATTCAAACTGTGACATTTAAAAATGAGAATAGAAAAGCTGTTTCCAGACCAATTATGTGCAGTCATTGGTACATACCCTTTTCCAGCTGTATGCAAATGTAATGTTTACATTTGATGCAACTGTAGGCTTGGAGAGAAAGAATTTTTTTTTTTTGAGTGAATCAAAATTTGACAGGACTGTGAGGAGATGGACAGGTTGGCCCTGAATTTAGCTTCAAAGCCGGAAGTGAGAGTATGCTCTCTGTGGGACAAGCTTCAGGGTTTGGAGGGGGGAATAGAAAGTGGGGAGGGCGGTGGGACCTGCCAGCCTGCGGGTTAGCCACAGAAGCCCGAGACCGCAGTCCTGCTGAGCCTGGGGTTTTCTCGTCTGTTGTCTGGGAGTATCAGCTTCACAAGAGTCCTCTGTGAAAGCATTTGCAGGCCTAGGAGCTGCTGCTCAAATGCAAAAGGATGTTCGTCTCAGCTTAGGAATTTCTGTCATCTGGATTTGTGTGAAATCTCTCACCATCCTTACTCAGGTTGACGTGGGGCCCATAATACCAGTGGTAATAGTGGGCACCATTGACTTCACCCTTCCCCCATAGTGAGCCTGGCCCTGCACACTGATACCTCTGGCCTCTGTCACTGTCTGTGAGGCAGGCGCTGTCCCCATCTTTTGGGTGAATATGGAATTCAGAGCAGTTAGGTAGCAGGTTCAAAGTCATGCGGCTAACTCCTACAGAGTTCTGTCTGACTCGCAAACGTGCGCTCTGAACCACTGTGCCTTGAGGCCTTTACCTCTGGGGGAGGGTGGGGAAGGAGGGTTGAGGCAGAAAGGGGGTGTTGAGAGCAGAGGAAGGGGCCTGAGGGACTGGAGTGGCTTGACTGGGCGTGGAGGGTGTGAGGTGGAGCAGTCCCTTCTAGGTCAAGGCCTCACGTCTGAGTCCCTGGCGATAAAGAAGGTAAGTCTTGGTACTGATCCTCTAGCTTCCGGCCCCAGACTGGTTTGTGAGCCGTGGCCCGGCTCCTGGGAGACCGACCCCCAGCCCACTCTCTGTAAGAGGAAGGTGTGTTCCTCTGTCCCCTCGGAACAGACACAGAGCAAGTCGGCCTTGCGTGAGAGTCTTTTCTCCCAGCAGGAGGACCTGGTGTGAGCGAGAGGGCTCCGGTCGAATGCCCGGCCCATCTGTCCAGTTAACTGCTCGTGTGCCCCAACCCACAGCGAAGGTTAACTCACGCCCGGTGGTTCCCTTGCAGACCAAGTGTCACCAGTACTGGCCCGATCCCCCTGATGTCGCAGAACACGGCAGCTTTCACATCCGCTGTCAGTCGGAGGACTGCACCATTGCCTACGTGTTCCGCGAAATGCTGGTCACCAACACCGAGGTAAGCGGTGCCCTGGCGGTGAGTGGTCTGGGAAGGGTGCCGTTTAGAGGGAGGCGCTCGGTCAGCATCCTCTGTGTTCCCTGCAGCTGTTGTTCCCAGTCTGCTCCATGTTTTCACTTGGTGAGCATTTCAGTAAAAGCAGAACTCGTGTTCACAACAGCACTATTCACAGTAGCCATGGTGGAAACGGCCCGTGTCTGTGGACGGACGAACGGATAAACTAAATGGGATATAGTCCTACGATGGAATGACATTTGGCCTTAAAAGGGAGGAAAATTCTGACACTTGCTACAACATGGGCGTACCTTGAGGACATTATACTAAGTGAAATAAGCCAGACACTAAAGGACAAAAACAAATACTGTATGATTCCACTTACATGAAGTACCTGGAGTAGTCAAATTCATAGAGACAAAAAGAATGGTGGTTGCCCGGGCCTTGGAGAGGAGAGAATGAGGAATTCATGTTTAATAGGTAAATAGTGGTGATGGATGTACATTGTGAACGTGCTTAAAACCACTGAAATGTACACTTAATTATGGTAAACTTCATGTAATGTAAATTTTGCCCATTACCAAAAAAAAAAGAAAAAAAAAAAAAAAAGGAAAGAAAGGAAAAAGAGTTACAGTGTGTGGCCCTAATGGCAAATACTGTAGCAGCAAACGGAAGGAGCTCCCTGTGGGCAGAAGTGGAGAAGCAGCCCATCGGGAGGCGGCCTGCGCTGAGCTTAGAGAGTAGGTGTGGGAGAGGAGCGCGGAGGGCGGGTGGGGGTTGGCAGGGGCCCCGGCAGGGCTGTGCACGGTGGGCTGAAGAGGGTCAAGTGACGACAGAAGCATCCTGGCTGGAGGCTGGAGCGGGGCCGGGTTTTCCTGCCCACCCTCTGGATTGCCTGAGTCCGGTCTGCGTCTCCCACAGACCGGAGAAGAGCACACTGTGACCCACCTCCAGTATGTCGCGTGGCCTGACCACGGCGTGCCCGATGACTCCTCAGACTTTCTGGAATTTGTAAACTACGTGAGGTCCCTGAGAGTGGACACAGAGCCCGTCTTGGTGCACTGCAGGTACTGTGGCTTGCTGGGTTGGGTTGTTCGTGTGTTTCTTTGTTTTATCCCCATTCCTTGGGAAAGGCCTGGAGAAAGTTGGCAGACGTCACACCTGCCTGGATCCCACAGGAAGAGACAATGCTTTCGCAAAGCTCAATTTCTTTACCTGTGACAAAAGGTTTAGAGCTTTATGAAAGCGTGAACTTCTGAGTGCAGTCTCAAGTTGAGGAGGAAAGTCCCTCCCTCATCTTCCACCTCTTCTGAGGCATTCTGAGGAAACGGACCTTCACGAACGATGTAAATAAAACAGGGGGTGGAGTTTGCACTAAAGGTGGGTTTCTCTCAGAGTTTTAAGGCCCCAGCCTCAGACCGTCTGAGGAGAGGATTCCTCAGCCCGTTTTAGAGCGCACCCTACGTGTGTGTGTCCTGCTCTTAAAGGTCAGGGGAGGAAGGCTCTGTCGGCATGAATGTGGGACCTGGTGAGGACTTGCTTTGGGCTGTGCAGAAATGCTGGCCAAGCAAATCCCAAGTCTCTGCTCCTCTTCCCCCCAGCGCTGGAATAGGTCGAACCGGTGTCTTGGTCACCATGGAAACAGCCATGTGCCTGATTGAGAGAAACCTGCCCGTTTACCCGCTGGATATTGTCCGAAAGATGCGAGACCAGCGCGCCATGATGGTGCAGACATCAGTGAGTGGAAATCCAATAATAAAAATAATTGCAGTGGCCAGCACTTCCCGAGCGCTTGCCCTGGGCCAGGCCTGCGCAAAGGGCTTCGCAGGTCAGGCGACCGAGGCTTGAGGGGGCTGAGTCACTTGCCCACAGTCAGAGCTTGGCGGACTGAGCTACTCCAAAGCTCACTGCTCCTGGCCTCTGCCTTCTGCTGCCTCCACTTCTGCTGCCCCCACGATTTGTTTCCTGCCAGCCGCCCGGCTGGGGAGCAGCCCTGGTCGCATTCTGCATTGTCCACCACGGGCCTGTCATTTGTCTGTGAAAAGTAAGCAAGGTCGCCCGAGGGCTTCCCCCCTAGCCACCTGTTTGGCAGGCCCTACTCACCCCTTCCTGCATGTCACACCTGGATACCTGGCACTGCGCGTGTCCTGTAGAGGGGCTCTTGTGGTTTTCCCCCAGAGCTACAAGAAAGGTGGTGGGGTGGAGGGACCATGACCCAGGGTCCCCCACCTACTGGGCAACCTTTGAATAATCCCTTAACGTCTCTCCCAGCCTCGGTTTCCCCATCTGCAAAGGGGGACCGTTCCATATTTATTCAATTCATGGGATAATTGCACAAACGGAGAGACCCGAGCTCCTATGTGTGGTAGGAGAGCTGGATTAATCCATTAAAAATCTCAGCAGCAACGGGGGAGGCCAAGGGGACTCGGAGAACTCAGTGGGCGGGAATGAGAAGCCGCCTTTGGAAAGCCCGGGAGGGCTTCCTGGGGGAGCGGCCGCTGTGCTGAACCCGCAGGAGGCGTGAGCACAGGCAGGGGTAGAATCCCGTGTCGTATCCTCGCAGGCTCATGAGCACAGTTTGTAAGCTTTCTCTAATAATTGTGAGCTCTTGTAGCTTCATATTCATTTGCACCCAGAAAAAGTTATTAAGGCTGTTTTCTCCTCTGTTTTGAGGTATGAAAGACCTCATTGCTCTCTTAAAAGTTTTTAATTGCATCATCTTGGTAGATTTTCCTAGCTAGTGAAGTTCAGTCTCAGTGCTTTTTTTCAGCCTGTACACATCACTAAAATGTGATTTCTTAGGTATTTGTTAACATAAAGAATCATATTCTGCAGAGCACCTTTCAGTGGCTCTTCTTTTTTTAAAAAAAAGAAATTTGTTTATTGAGTTGAGAGAGAGATAGAGGAAGGAGAAGAGAGAAACACTGATTTGTTGTTCGGCAACCTTGGCACATCAGGATGACGCTCTCACCAACTGAGCTAGCCAGTCCGGGCTCAGCGGCCCTTCTCTAAGACCAAATCTGAATTCTTTCCCCAATGCGAGGCCCCACGTGACCCAGCCCTGGTCCCCCCGGGCAGTCTCTCGTCCCACGCCCAGGCGTTCTGGGCGAGGACTGTGCGCCCTGACCACGCTGCTCAGGACGGGCCATCTCCTTTGGAGCCTCCACGGGAGTGGCCGCCCCACACAACCACCACCCCGTCCCTGACTCCCGCAGACATCCCGTCCCTCCCTCTGCCACGATTCCGTGCACCTTCACCCGTCCCTCTCTGGGAACAGCTCCCGCCCCTCACCTTACAGCACCAACAGGCTCGCAGGTGTGTCTCCTCCACTCCATTTCCGCGGTGTGTCGCACAAGGCCTGGCCTGGCCCAGAGCTGGAGTTCAGAGGGTACTTATCAAACAGCTATGCCTGTGGTGTGATGTAATAGTTACAGAGCGGCTTGCTTTTCTTTTCCAGAGCCAGTACAAGTTTGTGTGCGAAGCGATTCTTCGTGTTTATGAAGAAGGCTTAGTCCAAATGCTGGATCCAAGTTAGGACAACTGTGAAAACGTTCATTCCTCTTTCCAAGGGCATCCTCCTTATGGACAGACCTTCTCTCTGGAAGCAGCAAGAGGAATCTGTAGGCTGTGGTGTGGGAAAGGACGGGGCACATTTGAACCCAGGCACTTTAAACTTCTTTAAAAAGGTATCGTGTACATAGGAACTGTGTAGATACGCATGCAAGAGAGCATCGTTTAGGCTCATTGTTCCTCTTGCAGAGAGAAATACGCAAAAGGGGATCCCAGTGTGGGGCCTGTCCTAATGCCTTCCTCTCTAGACTTCACCGTGATCTTGTAAACCATCCCTGGGCAATTGAGAGGGGGCACCAGCAGCACTGTTGACCTCCCAGAAGCAAGACGGCATGGCAGTTTCGAGTTGCGTGGATGCTTTGTATGTATCATGTGTACAGGACTCTACGAGCCAAGCTTTCTGTGTGCTTCTAGACCGAGCAGGAACAGTGGCAGTCGCCTGCCCCGATGCTGAGGAAACCTGATGAATGTACCCAACGCAGGGGGGGCGGGCTTTCCGGCTGAAGGATGAGCAGCACCTCTCCTGTCCTCCCTTCCTTTGTCCCATCTCCGCCCCCGACATTCACGTTTCTGAGGGTCGTGTCCCAAATACCCCACTTTCCGCTGCATTAGTGGCCCTCTTCAGGTTCACACGCAGCACCTGAACCAGGTTAGTAAGGTAGGGTCAGGTAAGGGTCAGGTGTGTTTTGAGCCGAGACCCTGAGAACAAGGACGTCGGCTGTTGTCCTGACTTGCGTGCTCTAGTTGTAGGAGCAGGTGCTGCTCAGCTCTGCCCGCCTCTGGCCACCGCTCGCTGCCTCTCGCTGTGCGCTCAGCACCCAAGACTGGAATCATCAACTACTGAATCTACTACATGGATTGCTGCTACTTCAAGCTCTTACACTTGAAACATTATGATTTTCCTGAGGGGGAGATGAGATATCATCTAAATATTCAGAATCTTTGGCCCTTCTGAGAAAAGGTCTTCTAGCCACTGAACCATGGAAAACCCAGCTTCTGGAGGGCTGTCTGTGGGTGTGGGTCAATGTGTGTGTGCCCATGGGTGAGTGTTTCTCAGGATTCCTAACTTGATTTAAATAACAGTGGAGTGTATAGAAAGAACAAATGTGCGTATTCGCCCTCGGTTATGTGGTCTTCATTTCATTTCAAAGGAGAGGATCAGACTATCTGAATATAAACGCAATTTGATGTTAATTTATTCTAAGTACACCATGATTCTGACTGTCCTAAAGAATTCTGCCTTTGTTAATACTGTGTTAAATTTTTAAAAAATTTGTGACAGGATTGTAGCAAATTATATAAGGAAAATAAATTACCAAAAAAACCCTTTATTGTGGCATATTTAAATAAAAGTTTTTACATATCCAGAAGAGGAAGCTAAGGCAATTTCTTAACAGGATTTGTAGAAAAGGGATGCTTTCATATTACAGCACACAGAAGTGAAGCCATTTTGATGTTTAAGCGAACTCTAGAGCAATTGAGTAGTTTTCTGGTTGCAACAGGAGTAAAGACCTTTATCTCCAGGCCTAGTCCATTTACTTGCATACTGCCCATCTTTTCCCCACCAATGGCGAACTGCTAAGTGTCAGGGGTGGGAGGGAGGGGTTCTGTAGTGCTATACCCCTGTACTGTGCGACGGTGGCCACCTGAGCCCCATCCTTGTTGGCCTTTGTGCCAGGCCAGCAGAAGGAAGCAGGAGAGGAGAGAGAAGCAGCAGCAAGTTTGGTTCCTGGTTCCACTCGTCAGTAATGCGCCCTCAGCCTAGTCACTTAGGAGCACTCTCTCTGTTTCCTCATCTGCACAACAGGAGAAATAATACCGAAGACTTAAAGTTGAATGTGAGGACTGACTACAGTGCTATTGATGTGACTTTGCATCAGATGGAGTCTGACACTGCTGTGGATGAATCGCTTGGAAAAGTTCGCTTACCTGTGATTAGCCCATGAAACCCATGAAACAGAAGTAGAATCATATGGGTTTTTATAAGAGAAAGTTGCTTTTCTTCTGGAGAGAACAGAAACACAAAGGAATATCATACCAGTACCTTTGTTCAACCAGGACTCAGAAAAATTTTCTCCTTGAAACACCAAAAGAGAGGGGACGGCGGAAAAGCTGGTGTAAATTCATATGCCACCAGGATACTTAGCAAATCATTGCCATTTGGTAAAAGCACATCATTGCCCTGTCTGCAAAGTTCTTGAGAAGTCTAAATGTGTTTGCAGATTTGTACTTATTGTTTTTTTAAAAATTGTTTAATACGATTGCAGAGATGTTGCTGTTATTATGACATAAATTTCCAAGAAGCTCACCGAAGGTTACAACTAGCCTTTTTCTGCCTCTGCTCAAGGCAGTAGTTCAGACCCAGCAGATGTTACCAGGAATAAAATTCATGAAATATTGAGGACGAACAAGACAAGAGAATTATCTCAAAGAGCAAACATATGCAAGTAAATACTACAGATACCACCGATTAAATTCTGTAACTCAAGATTTCTGCTTTACCACCTTACACACTTAAGCAATTATACTTAAGAAGCCTTTTTATAGTTCTAAGTGAAGAACATCAAAATCAGGATAAATATTTTGCCTAGGAAATCTGGCTGGGAATGAACGGAGAAGACATTTGCATCCTGCACTCTGGCGCTCTCCAGAAGATCTAATTTAGATGCATCTATGTGCTGGCTTAATCGAGATGGGCGATCCCTTCTGGCATCTCCTGTTAGAACCTGCGCTTGGTGTTTTGACCTTCCAGAAAAAAAATATTTAACTCCATTCGGTTAGGGGTGATGTGGGTGGTAGGGGAGCATGGATTACAAACTTGTGCTGGTCTTTAATTCCTGCCACAGTAGTTTATAGCTGTCTATGCTTGTAGATTAGTGTAGATGGTATTGCTGCTATGTTGCTACTGGACTTTGTTTTTGTTGCTCAGAAGTTACCATTTGAGTGCAAGCAGCAGGCCTCTTCATCCCCCAGAAGCGGCCAAGAGGCAGCATCAATGGGGAAAGGTCGTAAGAGGCAAGGTCTTCGGTTTAGACCCAGGCTTAGGCAAGATGCGTTGCCCTCAGCCTCCGTTTCTTCATGCAAAAGGGCAAGGTTGGGCTGGACTAGATGAGTTCTTGGTTCTTTCAACATTTACCGTCCTAGGAGTCTGTATTCCAGAGATTTGAAATTAATTCTAAATTAAAACTTCTGGAGAGAGATGTATCACATTTCTGTGACTTGTCCCCAAGAGATTGTCCCTCGAACCTTGGCATGGTTGACTGCAAAGACGAGGATTGCCACCTCTGCTTCTTGCCATCCTTGCCATCCTCAACCGAGGACAGACTCGGGAGAGATGGCAAAAACTCTGACCTCAGCCTGAGGACCCGAATGCGTGGGCTTCCGATGGCCGGACTGCCTGCCGTCTTTAGAACTCACGTTTTGCTTGGAGCAACAAAGGATTTGTGTTACGTAGTTTTGAAAGGTGTCCTAACTGATCAGCAATATTTTTTTTTCTGTAAATTTGGAATGTTTTTCATTCAGATCTGTTCTGCCAGTGACTACTGAAAACAATTTGATCATTATATAAAAACATTTAAGCTATGCAACACTAGCATTGTGTGTTGACATCTTTATTCTAATAATTGTCTCGATTTCTGTGTTTTCTTACTGTGTTTGGTTTCTTTTAAGTCATAACTGAGTCTTGGAGAACAGCGCTCTCCGCCCACCTCCCCCTCCACCGGGTCAGGAGCATGACCATGCACAGCGCCTGTCTCTCTCTCGCTCTTTTGTGGCAGTTCTAGATCAGAATTAGGTTCAGCTCTCAAGACAGCACTAGCTTACACAAAGTAGAAGGTGCTTTACCCTCTCTCATGCAGGGCTGCCTGGGTGGCTCCATGATCCCCAGGTCCCAGGTTCCTTCCGACTTGTGGCCCTGCCACCCGCCACGTGCCGTTTCTGCAGTGAGGCCCACGGTGGTGGCGGCAGCCATGTTCTCGTTACGGCCAGCAGGACGGAGGGCAGTGGGAGAAGAAACGCAGGACGCCTTCGGCTGGATGTTGTGCATGCCATTGGTCAGATCTTAGTCACAGGGCCATACCTACTGCAGGGGAGTCTGGGAAAGGTAGTTTTTATTCCACAAACCCATGTGCCTAATGGAAACGCAGGAGCTCTGTTTCTGAGAAAGGAGGAAAGACTGTGTTTGAGGGGCAAGTAGTGGTCCTGCCCTAGTTCAACCCTTTGTTCAGCTTTCTTGCCTCTTACAGAAGCCACTCCTCTCCCCAAAGTGAAAAAACCCACACCCCATCTAGGTAGGGCATGGAGCTAAAGGTAAAATCACCTTTGGGCGATTGCAGTCTCCATCAGCTCTGGGTGGCTTCTTGTGGTCTAGTGACCTATAGACTCAAGAAGTTATCTTCTCCCAACATAACCCTTAAACAGTAGTGAAGTAGGAACAGGCACACAGCACTGAAAATTCCTAAGAGGAGAGAACAGGGAACAGCGCTCCAAGTGGCTGCCAAAGGCCACTGCACAGGAAGAGTGAAGACAACTCTGGCAGGCCCACGAGTCCCTGAGAGACCACCAGACAGCCACCCAGCTCTGGGGGGGAGCTCCTTGCTCATTGACCTCCACGGCCAATCCGAATAGGACCTACAAAGGGAAGATCTCTTGGGGACATCACAGCTTCAGTAGCCTGCTTACTCCTGGGACAATTTTGGGGGTCCCCAGGGTTGTGGTTTCTATGCCAGTAGACTTCCCTCAAGTACCCACAGCTGAAGATTGGTCTAGACTGGCATTCCATGCTCTGCTTATGCCTCTTCCTTAAAGGCACCTGAGAAGGAATTAACGGTGGGAAGGCAACAGCTGTTTGTTTATATGTGTCTTTTATTTTTACATTTTGTATTATGAAATATTTCAAACATACACCAAATCAGAGAGACTAGGATAATGAGCCCTTATGCAACCACCCACTTTCAGTGGCCAACATTGTGTCAATGATGTTTGCTCTAAAGCCCCGCTCCTCTCTGTGCTCCTTCACTTCTGGGTGTTTTTCCTCTGTGAGGCAACACCCTTCATCTGATCTCTGGAGCTACCTGGTTTGCATTTTCTGGCAGAGAAATCGAAATGGCTTGTTGCCCTGGCCTTATCCCTACTAAGGCTGCCACTTCAAGGCCACTGCTCCCAACAGCTGCCATTTGGAGAACAAAAGCAGTTGAACAGAAGCATTTCACACTTCAAAACCTTAATTTTGAGTTCAGGCTGCAAACAGTGCTTCCCTTATCAAAGCAGGGCTCCCCGCCCCCACCCCATCTCTGCAGCCTGGTCGGCTCCAGCTCCTGCCTGTCTCACTTTTAGAGGATGCGAAAGGAGCGATAGTCAGATGGTTCGCACCCTCCCACCATTTTCTCTATTGTCATGGCTTCAGTCAGCCTGCAGTCTGTCCTCCAAGTTACTGCGGATGACAATTTCATCAAATGTTTAGACATTATGTAAAAGGCAATTCTATTCCTGCTATCTGCTGGCCTGCCAATTCCACTAAGCCAGTGCTACATTTTAGATGATGTTAATTGCAGTGTCCCACTTTTAGGTATCAAATTCTGAATCCAAAAACCAAAGTAAAGGTGGCTGGAGCAAAAAAAAAAAAAAAAGTTTATTTCTCTCTCAGATAAACACAGAAATCCAGAGCTGGCACAGTAGCTGCATGGTCATTGGGATCCATGTTTTTCCACTCTGGTGTCTTCACCGTCCTCAATATATACCTTCTAACCACGTAGTCTAAAATGACTGCTCCAGCTCCACCCATCACATCCATACTCCAGCTGGAAAGAGGAAAGGGGAGAGAGAAAGAATGCCCCTTCCCTTTAAGAATAATCCCTAAATGTTGCATAGATTTGCACACAATTAGCCAGGACTTACTCATATGGGTACACCTATCTGGAAGGGAGTTTAGGAAATACAGTCTTTATTCTGGATGGCACTCTACCTAGCCAACATTTAGGAGTTTTGTTATTGTACAAGGGTAAATAATTACTGGGGCACAATCAGCAGCCTCCCCTTCAGATTCTTTGACTTCATCTGCTAAAGGGCTGCTGAAGGGCTGATTTGTGAGGAGGTACCCATCTCAAGACCCAGAACACAGGATTAAATGCAATTGTGCCACTTAAACAAGGCTGGACCACCATCTCAAAGTCTAACACCAACAGCCCTGACAGGATGAGCACCTGTCCATTACCTACACGACCCACTTGAAGAAGAGTAGGCTGATAATACAAGCTTTCCCTTTTCTAGAAACCCCAGATGCCTACCCACTCCCCAACCCCAAGTTCTACAGGCCAGCCTTCATCTATGGCCACCTATGTGTCCTTGGCTGGTTAGTGCCTAAACCTCTGGATTCCTCTCCGGTCAAGAAAGGCTCCAGGAATTCTCCCGAGGCCTCCCCAGGGCTTCCAACCTCATTGGCGAACACAGAGCCAGGTAAGAAGACCTGATGGGATGCGGCGGTGGAGGTCTGAGGGACGATGGTGGCAATGAGGACCAAGTGCACTGTCCCAGCCTAGATATTCAAGAGGAGGAAGTGATGATAACCGATGGACGTGCAGAGGGAGGCGCTCAGGGTGGGGCCAGTTTCTAGGTTGGGCAACGGGGCGGGTGTTGGAAACTAGGAAAACTAGATGTGGGGAAGATGATGTGATTGTTCTTTGGGTCTGAAGTCTAGGAACACACGTGCAACCAGCCTCAGGAGCCTCACACAGCTATGTCTGAGCATGTAAGTTTATTCTTGGAAATGGAGTAGACATTTCTGGGTCCTGAGCACCCTGACTGGCTACAGTCAATGCCTTTTGTGCCATTCTTGTTTTCATTTTAATCCATTTCAAATGATCTCTGTAATCAAACCTAGTTATTAAAATAGCCTGACTGGGGTGAATATGAAATTGTCTTAGTCTGCTCATGCTGCAATAACAAAATGCCATAGTCTGGAGCTTAAAAACAGCAGACCTTTATTCCTCACAGTTCTAGAAGCTGGGAAGTCCAAGATCAGGTGCTGGCAGGTTCCTTTCCTGATGAGAGTTCTCTTCCTGGCTTGTAGACAGCTGCCTTCTTGCTGTGTCCTCACGTGGTGGAGAAAGTGACTCCTAATGTCTCTTCCTCCTCTTCTGAGGCCACTACAGCCATCACGGCGGCCCTACCCTTGCGACCTTGTGACCTCATTTAACTTAAGTACTTCACCAAGGCTCCACCTCGAAATACCATCTCAGGGGGGTTAGAGCTTCGGTATGCTTCAATCCATGGCAGCAAATTCGTATTTTATCACCATTGTGTTGAGAGGGCTGGTTCTCTCTGGACTTCCTTCCCCACCCTCCTCTGCCTGAGCTCTCAGGGGCTAAGCTGTCCCCAACAGTCCCACGGGCAAGAGGACAGCATGCTGGGGCTGAGGAGAGGTCCCCAGCTCTGGTCCCAATGTCGGCCTCTGCTGATGCTGGTGTTGGCACAGGCACTGTGTGATTTTCTTTAGTAGGGTTCAGCTTCACGCTGGCCCCCTCCAGCATGGAGGGACCGCGCTCCTCCTCCCTACCTGGGAGTGTGGGGGACATGCCCTCCTTTAGCCCCCACCAACAGCACCCACCCCAACCCAGTCCCTGAGTTATGCATCCTATCCCTCAGCCCGGTGGCTTATGGGCAGCCTCACATTTTTAGCATCTCTGTTCCTCCATAGATGACATCTATGTCATCTGTGGCATAAACACATCCCCAGTGTTCCCTGCACACGGTGGTAGTACTGACCATGCCTCCTCACACAGGCCACGGAAATCATTGCTATCTTTTGCGCTGCCCAGCAGACCCATAGAAAATTCATCAGTGGTTGATGGGTTTCTGGCCTAGAATAAAAACCTCGGCCCCATCTGAAACTCCATCCAATTCTCACCTGTTCTTTGAGAAACAGGTTCATAGTTTCTATTGTCTTCCAGAACTGCTCATTTGCCACCCAGTGGCAAAGCCCAAGGTTCTGATTGAATCAACATTCACCGAAAATAAGTTTCATGCCTTGGAGCCTTTAGCTTGCATCCCTCTAATGCCAAGCAGACAATTGTGAATAGAGGGAGGAAATATCATTCCCTGCGCCACAAAAACAATGGGAGCGCTTCAGGCAGGAATGGCGTTGCCTCTGACATGTGCAATCGATAACAATGTCAAGATCACGTCTAAGAGCTGGTCCCTGTGGACTCCACTGCCATTGCCCCTAAGCACGGTGCATGGCACGTGAACAGCTGGCACCATTGCGGCCCATCCTGCCCCGCACGCTGGATCGAGCTTGCCCTGCAGCGGCTACCCTCGTCAAAGTACATCTACACGGTCCCTGCTGCCTGGCAGCTCTGACCTCTGGGACGGGTGCTTCTCGTTAGTAGAGCCTAGCCCATGTGCCCACACCAAGCTGCAAGGGAGACTGGAAAAGCGAACACATGACATTTTCAGTGTCTGCAACAGGAAATGTAGGAGGTGATCTCTGCTTCATGCAGTAGAAGCATGTCCACATTTAAAAACTGAGTGACCAAAACCAATGTCCCCAGCGGTCCATTCCCTTTGCTAGCTGATATCCTCCCC